TGAATTGTATATGATATACACACAATCTGTAATAAAAATAGCCTAAATCTCGATGAAAAGCGCGGCGCTGTCACTATGTAGAGGTTCAATCAAATTAAACCTACTTTAAAATTTTATAAAGGTTTTCTACCTCTATATCAGCTGTTCAGCAGGATATATTACATAGCAGAGAGAGAAGGGTCAGTTTTTATAACTACAAAACAAATAATCAAATTCAAACTCGTACTGCAAACTTAGTTGAAACTTAATATTGCTCCCTTCTACAGAATTCTTTAAAGTCTTTGGCGCAATCTATGTCAATTTGATGCCAGTATTCAAATAAAAAAATGGAACAAATAAAATCCAAAGTTTGTACAAAAATAAAATTGATTAAGTGCAACTGACCGTTATTTTCTCCATATATCATAATCACAAATACTTATACACAAAATAAAACTAGGTCAGACGTATTTTTTCGACTGTGAACACGAAAAGAAAACGGTAAAAGTTATTTCCCGTCATATTATAAGTAGTTAAACTTTAATAATGTATAAATAAAGCTATATATATATTGTATGTCGGCGGTATATATATATATATATATTTCTCACAGATCTTAGCGTGCTGTCTATCTTACTCGCTCGATTACGTTAAAAACATTATTTTTTAAATGAACTTTAACGTAAGTACACTTTTCAGGGACAAATACATATTTGAATTTTATAATTAAAATGACAAATCAGTTTTTAATTATAATGTGAATGGTGTAGATCAAGGTTAAATCATGCAAGGCGCCTCCTACCTATTTTTAATTTTCTTCGATGGTAACATCATTAACTTGGTGAATAAAGGCAAATAACTAACTCAAATAACTAACTCAAATTGTAGATTAGGTAGATTGTAGATTAGGTAAATAAACACTTCTGAACTTTAACAATAATAAGATTGAAAAAAAATTAAAGGAAGCTCATTTTCACTCTCCACATATTTACTGAACCGTTGTCGAATCCACGACATCAAAGTTCTTTAAACAGTTTATTCTGAAAACCGTTTCATGAACTACGTCAACCAAACTAATTACTTCGACACAATTTCTTGTTCCGTTCAGTTCGTCTTCGACACAAACTAGTCAAAAAAACAGTTTTTTAGACTAGTTTACGGTGGACGATAAACAGTCTCGTTTCGTTGATCGAAAAAGCCTCGACAACCCAATTCTAGTAGTCAAGGCTATTTGTGTAGAATCGAGGGTAAGCGTTCTTTTCTTTCGCTCTTTCTTAATGTATTTTTCAATGCAGTTCCTCATAAAGCGCTATTTTTTTTGTCCATTGTAAACACCGAAAGTGAGTCTTTAAACACGTGTTAAATAAAAATGTACTGAAATTCTTTACTGCACACGTGCTTAAAAGTATTTTTTTAATTTTTTTTGGCCGAGCACCAAAGAAATTTAAAAAAAAAATGTTGAAAATAAGTCAAACTTTAGAGGCAAAAGTATTTCAAGGAGCCTAGAACGAATATTTTCAAATAAAAATGTATGACACGAAAACATGTTCAAGTATCACGTTTAATTTTAACAAATAATTTTTACCTTTAATACATACTTAGTTTTATTAACCTATATATTTGTTTTATTTCCTCGCAAAAAGCATTGAAAAATGTTGTAAGAAACTTGAGTGTAAAAGGTTTTTCGAATTCGCTACGCTCGTGTTTTCAATTTGGCCCTTATTCGTAAAACCTTACTTTCCGCACTTGTATCTTTAATAACTATTATAAAGTACACGAAACCATCAAATAGCTTCAAGAACAAAATTTAAGCATTAATGTGCATTACGAACAAATACCCTTCGTTACATTGAAGGTTTCAAAGGTATTATAATTTCTTTTTTTTTTAAACAAACCATAGCGGCATTTACGTTACTGCACAGATCCATCTATTAGTTCCAAGTGGTACTAGAATAGCACCACTTGATAAGAATAAATTGCTTAAATTTTTTTATTTTATTTAGTTTTTAAGGATATTAATTAAAGTACCCGTACGAAAAGCCAATAGACGAATACGCAGCTAACTTTCATAAGCTAAATCAATATTGAATCATGTAAATTTTGAACTTACCCATACCGATACAGCTATAAAATATGAATAACGAGTTTGATGACGATTTCCAAAGGCAATAAAGGGTAAATTCAGTGATCTATCAAACTTGTAACTAGAGAGAAACGTAATTATAATAAATAACAAGTAGTGGAGAACTGGTGTTAGAACTTACCTTATTTACAGATCTCGTGCAGTACAGAAAAGTAATCACAATTACCATATCGTGCTGTAAGTCAATAAATATTGGTGACAATGTGACACGAAAGCACTTTTACCTTTAATACATGAATCCCTTAAATGGTGAACAACGGAAAAATAAGTCATCTGTATCAAACTCTTGGAGGCGGTCAAAACGCAGCAACATTGAAAACTTAATACTGACTTGATGAAATAACTTCCCAATATGATTTGTTTGGGAAACAAAAGAAAAAAGGGCAAACAAGAAAACATAAAACATTTATTTAGGTCTACCATTAATAGTATTCTCCAATCAACAACAGCCAAAACTGAATGAATAAATAGCAGGCACTAAACTAAATTGTGTCGGAGTGGTAATCCCGTTCTGTCTGCGATTAAGCGGATGAGAAGTTAAGAAACTTTCGCAATGATCCGTCATAAATAGATATATAAATAGATAAAAAGTTTATTTCTACTCGCAACATACAATTACATCACATACTAAACATTACGCGGCCATAAGAAACAAAGAAGGACAAGAAACAGAAATGTATCTATGTGCAGCTGTTTTATTATCCTCCGTGTTTCGAAAACACCCATTACTCCGCACTGGACCCGCATGGTAGGTCATGGCCCATTCTCCCTATGCGATACGATATTAACCTTAGGAAAGGCCTATGCCCCAGCAATAAGGTCATAATAGGTTGATGATAAAACTAAATTGAATAATTTTAAGAAAATGGAATGGAAACACTGAATCCTCAATTCAATATTTCACGTATAACTTACATTAGCCCTAAACACTTTTAACAAGAATGAGAAACGTCAAATAAATTGTAATAAGCAATGAGTTGTAGATAAGTAAATCTTCTGTGTAAATTTGAATCCCAGCGTACTTGGTTAAAATGAAATCTCTGAAAACTACACATTACGCCATTATAAGTTCTTAACTGTATACAAAACAAGATAGCTAAAAATACCTATATCTTATTGTTAAATTAATAATATAATTCGGTGTAATGTATACATTTTTGTACATTCCGTAAGCCATTCATTTAATCTTTGAATTAATATAACTGTTATTAGATGATTCTGTGAATCTTGTTCCTGGTCTACAGAGTTAACAGTCGTTTTAGAAAAACGTTTTTGTTACACTAGAGAATAAGTTACACGATCACTACTTCATCATTGCGGCAATGTGATTCGATCTTAAGACTAGTTTACGATATACATACGACATCTGTTAAGAGTTAATATACTCCTAGCAGCCACGGTACCCAGGAGCAGGCCATCTAATGCTAATAGCTACCAGTTTTATTAGAATTATTGCCATACATCTCGCGGTATGTGTGATTTAATAACACTTTCGTATCTCTCGTATTTTATGGGAATGCCTTGAATAACTCAATATTTAGACTCGCACACTAATATTTACAAATTTTTGTATTCGAAATCTGTAAATTTAAATATTAAGCAATATAAAAATTATAATATTCACGGTTTGACAATAAAATCAAATAATAAATATGTAAAATGTTAAGTTTGAAACTGTCTTTGCTTTAAATGATGAAACAGACACAAAAGATTCCATTTAAAACCACAGACAAGCCGGCAATCATAGACCGTACCATAGACACCGACGAGAAAACTAATAATTCTTTTATCGTGATCGTAAATCAGGTTTCTTTATAAAACCGCGGTGGTACACAACCCCTTGTCCCAGTAAATAGCCATTTTGTCACAAATATGCCGATAAATTAACTCTAAACTGGAGCGCAGTTATAAATCTTCGTGAACGAGGTTTCGTTGAAGATTTAACGTTTTTCTATTGATGAAAAAAAACGAAAATCTTTAGGAGTCGTATTGTTGAGAACCTTTTTTTGTTGTGCCTTTACGTTTTGTTCAGAGCAATTGCCAAAATTCAAGAGAGACATTCATAAATATGTAGAATTGTAAGTATCTACCTTGTCGACACATAAAAATAAATGTACAATAATGTTAAGAAGGTATTATAAAGCGTCTTTCGTACAATTTCTCACTACTTATTTATATGTAATCTACCAAATATTGAAACTATCATTCTAATGACAATAAAAGTTTGAAACAACATAATTATTAATTTTCCCAATGATATAGTTAATAAACTCATTGAATTTTCCCTCAACTTTTGACTACTTATGTATGTAGTAGTAATATTGTTTTTTCATCTAAAATTACACTTTTGTAGGCTTTCTTTGGCATTCGTTCTGTTTCCATGCACTTAGGTTAGCATAACAGCACCACTGAGTTGAAACGTTTCTATTTCTACAACTCATTCACTTCACTCACTATACTAGTAAATTCATGGAGATTTCGGATATCTATTTTTAAATTTTTATTTAGCGGCAAATAATTTGCCTCCAAGAAATCCGAAGATGTGACTGTGAATAGCAATTGTTTCCTGTTGTTTCAAATTCAATTGGTTTTTCATTTATTTTATACATCATAACTGCGAGTTGTGCATTATATTCTATTATATTAGGTCCTTACATATGAAATTGGCGTTTTGTCGTACTGGCCTTGCTCCGCTTTTACTTCTGCATGTGAATATGGGTGGAGTACAGCAGATCTTGCCGATACTAACTAACTGGGTGTAGAAATTGTTAGATATCATTGTTTTATAATCTTAAGTGTAATTAATTTTTATGAAAGGTATCAATTATTATCTAATATTATCAATAAAATGCTTAATTTTTATATGTGGTTGTTTCAGCCGGACGAGTTGGCCAGATCCGTGAAGCTCACATCACGAGAAAGGCGATTCATAAAGTTTGCTAGCGTCGAATATGACGGACAGCTGTACATGACTCCTCAGGACTTCCTAGAGTCGGTCGTTGAGCAAGAACCAAGGCGTAAGTATGATCCTTACTAGTAGTATGAACTAAGACCGCGCCTGTTAGAGGTGCTAATGAAATCTTATTGGGAACAATCAATCTGTTTATTTTTCTAGCCCGGCTGAAGAGACGTGTTTTGACCACCAAAGAGATAGAACATCTGCGTGACCAAACGCCAGCGTTGAAGAAAGGCTCTCCTCAAATGTTCCGCAATTTGAGAGATAAAGGCAAGCCCTTGACTCAAAAAAATTATGATCACACGTCGTTCTTAAAATAATAACATGCCTTTTTTAAATAGAAAAAAAAATTGTTTCTTCGAATAAATAAAGATGCAAAACTAAAACTTCCAATATATTTTTTCAGGGATAATATCATACACGGAATACTTGTTCTTGCTTTCAATTTTAACAAGTAAGTAAAACTTATTTTGATGTAATATTTCTAATAATTAATCTTGATACCTTAGATAACTCGATGTATACAAACGTAGTACTGATAATAAAAAAATAAAGTAGTTAGAAAAGAAGAAGAATTCTGTCGTGATCATTTTGTAAAACTCAGGACCGGTGAGGAAGCATCGTGGATAAAAATGCATGTTCCCCATATTACTTAGAATAAGGCCCCATTTTCATTGAACTATAAGTCGTTTTACTGCATGCGAGGCCTCCCGAAAACGGAGTAACAACTAAGAAAATTAATAATAAATTACGAAGTTAATATACCGCCCGCGAATATATCTCGCTTAAATGAATCGTTGGTCCTATTGTACACGTTAAAAATCTTCTGCAGCCCATAAGACTATCCTATCGAAAATGTAAAACAGCTCTTAAGTATAAGAAGGTCTGTTACAGATTACTTAATAGGCCAATGTCCAATATGTATTATAATATAAGATAATGATTGATGCTCGATCTTAACCTTTATGTCCTAATCAATTTCAGAACCAGCGTCTGGTTTCCAAATAGCGTTCAACATGTTCGACACCGACGGCAACCAAAGAGTAGATAAGAATGAATTTCTAGTCGTAAGTACAATATCTTTCTGATTGGTACGAATGTTGAGCGACAAGCGATTTTTAAAATAGTCTGGAAGCCTTACCGCCTAACTCAAGGTTAACCAAAGGGATAGCGACAACACAGCTTTATTTTAACCTACTACCAAAAAAGGAGAAGTTCTCTATTCGTCGCGTATGTATCTTTTGTGTATTATGTTTATATCTTAAGCGACTATTCGACAAAAATCATTTTTTTATTAGACAACTCCATATGATTTTTATAGAAATCGGATAAGTAGTTTTGTTTTTATGACAAAATAACTGTAAGCGTTTATCAAACACCAAAAATTGCTAACAATCGTATCTATAGCCGAGGCAAGTAGCTACTTGAGAATATGTCATAACTTAAGCAAATATTTTCAACAAATAAACAAGAATTTGAATGAAGACTGTTAATAATTAAATTAATAAGAATTTTGATTAGCTTTTAACAGGTCTTATCTAGTTCATTCAAATTTTCGTCAATTCCTTAAATAGATTTGCTTAAATTATGTTATTTTCTCAATTAATTACTTCTCTCGACTATGTAATACTTAGAAATATAAGTAGTTATCAGAAAAAAACTAATGAAATTATTATATTTTATACAATATTTTCTTTATCAATTAAAATTGCTAGTAAGCGATCAAAGTAATGATTATTCTATGATACCGATTTTTCTTTAAACTTTACAATTCAAAATAAATTTTAATAAATTCAGATATTGTTTTATATTTCTAATTATATATTTGAATTAATATATTTATAAAATAAGTAAATACCTTTAGTTATCACTTTGGCTATGACATCTTTGAATTAGGCGGTAGGGTCTCTGTTGTTACCTCCTGGTAATCCTGACGGTAATACAGGCAAGATACTCAAAGTTTTTATCGCTTTAAACATTGATATTAAGTATGTAATTAATATCGCTTTTCGTTCAGACACAAAAAACATATCTTCTAATAAAAAAACTTGCTAGGCATTTATTCCTGTTTTATAAGAAATGCATAAATTTACTTACACATAATTTCATCCGGTGGCAGGACATTTTATTCCAAACGTATAATTATTTTATATGTCAATGAAATATTACAAAAGAATTACAGTAATACAAACACATGCACTAAATAACTGTGGGACTACTTCATAAGACAAGGAACCATGACTTTTTGTACACTTTTGTTTCTACATACGTATATTATTATATTTTCTTTTTATTTTTTTCTGAGCATGTTTTCTGCCGTAATAAATATAGATTCAACGCCTGCTCGGTGGTGCTTTCAAGGAACGTAAAAATTTGGATGCGAAGAGTCAAGAAGCAGTGAGTTTACGAGAGTGTTTTTGTAAACCTTTCTCTGTCGGTGAAATCGAACTACGAATCAATTTATTTAGTGCTATGCCATTGCATTTGTTTTGTTTATGTACCTTTTTAAATATTAATTGATGCAATAAAAAAATGTAAATTTCATATGAATGATGTAACCTTTATACTTAAAGTATTTAATATTTTATTGTAGTTTTTATTTTGTTATTTGGGTACATACATAAAAACAATAATTAAATTATTATAGGCACTAATTAAATTGATTGTATTGGCTCGATCATCAGTTTAGGAGGTTGTGCTTAGCCAAGTGTTCGTTTTTGTTTCTAAAGAAGCTTTATATTTTAACGTTATACGTATATTCGTAAAATTCTATGTATTAAAACTGCTTTTATACACAAAAGATATTTCGTGTATGCCAAAAAAATTTATAGGCTAACAGACGAAATGAGAAGAATTCACAATTACAATGAATGAGGTTAAATTCTCGTGTTTACACATTTTACCAACATTTCCGAATAATTAGTTGAGACAGTGTTATCTTTCATTATCATATAAATACTTTTTTGATCTTCAATGTAATTTGGGACCAAGACCATATAAAGTTCTTTTATGTAATTAAAACTGAATAAATATAGATGTTACTTTGTAGAAGTCCTTTTGAGCGACAAGCGATTACATCGCCTACTTACAAATGTTACAGCTATGTACCTTGATCCCATTTATAATCATCAGGTTACACCGCTCAGTGTCAACTATTAGTGGCTGACGCTAACGCTATAATTTAAATTTTGTTTCTGCTAGAAAAGTTGTAACATCACTACACTACATTTTCCCGAACACAACAGTATAGAATATTTCCAATATTTACATACTGATATAAAAAGAAAAAAAGGGACTATAAATAGAAAATAATATTACGGTATAAATAATAACACAATCCATACTTTCTCAGTCGCACACAAGGCTCATTTAATAATATTTTATCAAAGTTATATCTAGAATGCGTCTGACTGAACCTTCTAATTACATATCAATACATAGTATAAAAAAGTCCCTTTCTATCGTTTATCCTTATGTATGCTTAGATCTTTAAAACTGGGTAACGGATTTTGAATTGGATTTTTAAATAGCTGATTTAAAAGAAAGTTTTTTATGTTTAATGCAACCCCACGCGGGCGAAGCTGCTGGCGGAGAGCTACGGGCTATATATAATCGATTTTAAAATGACTACTACACATATGTAATCTGATCGTGAAATTATAATTCACTAACATTACATAGGTTGTAGAGAGAGGAACAAAACACAATCGAATTTTCGAAATCTCACCATCATATTGATGATTTATTATAATGTTATTTATCAGATAGAATATTGTTCCGCGCACCGAACAGGCTCTGCCATAAAATCAGCATTGATGTGGCTCTTTCCGTGTCGCATCAACACCAGCTGAGGCAGAGTCCTGGTTGATCTCACTTTCTTTCTTTTTTATATGTCATTCATTATGTACCTTATTGTTTCTTTTCTGTTTCTTTTGTGTCTTTATCATGCTTTATGTGTTCCTAATAATATACTATCTTGTATGTGCCTTTGTGAGATCAATAAATGTTTCTTCTTCTTCTAATAAGGCAACCTCTTCACTCTACCGTACTTTTGTACAGAATACTGGCTAGCTGGTAATGTAGCTGATTTAGGTAGCCTCTTTATATTACAGCCCTCCAGTACTTTGCCAAATCAATACTATGATGTTTTTATTGGCCATTAATTTTCTAAACTAACTTTTGGGCGGCACAACCAAAATTTTCGCTTTAAGTTATCTTATTTTATTTATAAAATGCTTTATAAGTAACTGTATTTTTTCTTATACTCATTTATTGTTATTTGTAAAATTTCTATTTATTTATTTTATAATTGGGTGTTAATGTGTTAAAATGTGCTCACCGCCTGATATTTTATAGCTGCTTACGTTAGTATCTTCAAATCCCGTGAAAGGCAGAATCGGGCAAAGGGAACCGACCCTTGAGCCATCTATTGTAAGTCCAGAGTCGTTGCATATATTTTTCTTTGGAGTGTTTTATGTTATTTTTGTAAAATGATCATTATGATATTTGAAAAAAAAATACAAATTAGACCTACTATTGTCTTGCTAGATGCCTACTACTAAATGTCTAATGTATGTGGTTTGAAGGAAGATATGCTTTTGATTCTTGTATAAGACTCCGTGTGAAAAAAAAACAATGGTTTTCTGAAATATGTACTATGTGTGATGAATTACTTATGTTTTTTATCTGCATTTAACTGCAGTGTATTGTTGCGTTTGTAACAATAAAGCGCTGCTTTTAGTATAAAGGGCAAATGTACTTAATTTGCTATGTAAGTCCTTTTGTGTTTCACAACTAATGCTTTCATTTTCTACCTCACACACACCTACTGTGACACTTATACTCTTATTAACTAATTTGTTGAATGTAATAAAACAAACGCTTACAGCATGAATTAGTACCTAACACACATATTAAACACTGTAAATAATACAATTAATTTAATAACTAAGAACTTATTATGTGTATGTGTTGATTTTTTTACTAAATATATCAATTTTCTTTTAATATTATTTCAATTGTAATATAACAAGATAACAATTAATTCTGTTTATCTTTATTATTTAAAAATAACTTACTTTGTAGTAGCCTTATCAATTCAATAATATATATACTTATGTTGTTGCATTAACCCATCCAAAGAACATAAAAGATAATATCCGTTATTACTTCAAAGTGGAAACTTCACGGTTTCATTATTTGCAACTGTCAAGAGATGGCACTTGTGTTCTAATGTGATGAATTAATGATGATTTGTTAAAAATGTGAAGTACACAATTTTTAATAATTTTACAAACTGAGATATTTTAAAAACTAAAATAGACTGTTGATTGAATTGTTTGTTACATTAATTAATACATTGAAAATATTGTGTCAAAACACAAAAATATCAAGCAATTTTCCTTAAGATAAATATCGATATATCATTGTAAATACAAAATTGATCAAAAGAACATAGATATTGGAAACAATTCTGTAAAATTGAATTTTTAATTCTGAAAAAAAAAACTAATAAAACATACACAGATATGTTTATTGAATTTACAATATATGACCTAATGTACGCTTTAATGTTAAAGGAAACTAAATTGAAAAGAAATATAGCAATTTCTTTAGTTCAGAGTATAAAAAGGAAAATAAAATCATCATATTGTAACACTACCTGCATCTATCTATATGATCTAATGTGAACTTTGAAAGTAGACGACTTGTATCGCTATACGTGTCTTTTTCGCGGAGTACAGCTTATTGTTGTGGGGGGTGGGGTTAGTGTTACCAACCGTACTCTTAAATACAGCATTGTACTCTCTATAATGTAGGTGTACTCTATAATCTGAAAATCAGAGGACGCTAAAATACCTACTCATTCTTTCACATGTTTAATATACTAGTGCCAGTCACGCATACATGATGCATACCTATTATCATACCCAAAAAAATATCTTTTTTTTATATTTTAAATAAGTTATATTCTTTTGTATAAGTCAGTACTCGTTATGTTGGTATAATACATTTCTTTTTATAAACGTTGGCAACCCCAGGTGGGGTCTGCCACAAAAAGCATTACCTACTAAAAACAAAATTCAGTACTTCGCGAAAACGGTACGAAGTTTTATCTGTGTATCGCTATGAATCATATCGTTTACTAACAACGCTCACACAATTTATGGATCTTTATCCGTTTTAGCCTGCACTAGGAACAGACAAAAATAATGAAAGCGCGATTTTCCACGTTAAATACGAATTTGAATAGATGTGACAATTTCAGATGGAAAAAATCTTTAGTTTCGCATGGAAAGGCAAGCGTGGCATGACCGATAAAGCGGAGGGCGATGGCAGTGGGGAAAAGCCGCAGGACACTTATGTGAACGACGAGCAAGGCCTACAGCGCAGGCACAACGTCGACACATTCTTACAGGTGAAACTTTATTATAATTCCGTAGTGAAATGGTAAAAAAATGGAACCCTCATAGATTCTTCACGTCTGTTTGTCTGTCCATCCGTTGTTTTGAACTAGAGCAAGTGACATCACATCACTGGGAACTCCAGTTTCATCTAAAACCTCAGAAATGGAGTGATGAAATTACTGTACGATGAGACCTTGAAACTGGCGTATAGACGGAGAATAACATAATAAATTCTGTACATTCTTAGGTCCATTTCTTCGGCAAGAAAGGAACCAATGATCTCAAATTTGACGGTTTCAAGCAATTCATGGAGAATCTTCAGACCGAAGTATTGGAATTGGAGTTCCAAGAATTCGCCAAAGGTAATTTTATAATTTTACTACTATTTTAATGATTTCAACTTGCTTGTTGTTAACATGAATAGAAACCATATACCTAAAGGGGAATATCGGTACTACAATCGCAATAAAATAAAATTAGGTAAAATTGATGTTGCATACCACTAAGGTCGCTTGCAGATGATGATGATGATGATGATGATAGTATCTATACCTATAGTAAGACAGCGACGGACATGTAACAATAAAACAATCTGGAAGAGATTTGAAATAGAGTTTGAGACCACGAGATGCGCACGGGACTTGATACATAAAATAAGACAAATCGCTCTAATATACTTGTAGTATTATATTTTATCAATTTTGCATATGGTGCTTTGGGGTGATACCGTAAACGAGGAAATTCCCAAAATTTCGAATAACCACCAAATCAGGCATTTTCTGAATTTTTCCGCTTTCGTGATTACCCTATTAATGCAAAAATCACCAGACCCACCCCAACCCCATGCAGGTACCCAAGATGGGGTTCCAACCTTTTGCAATCACCTTTCGCAATCTAGGTGACTGCTCCAACCAAAAATAATATCAATCGATTTCAATACCTTTCACAGGCCACGAAACTATATCAGAAGTAGACTTTGCGAAAATTCTACTGCGATATACTTACCTTGACACTGACGAATACGACATGTACCTCGACCGGCTGCTGGACCGGATGAAGGACGAACGCGGCATCACATTCGAAGAATTCAAAATCTTTTGTCAGTTCCTCAACAATCTGGAGGACTTCACTATCGCTATGAGAATGTATACACTCGCCGATCACCCTATATCCAAAGGTAAATGCATATTATTATCTTACCACATAGTTACAAACATCTTCATAAACATTGGAGGTCGTTAGCGAAGTAGCGTTAGGTTTACGATGCTAAGCAATTTCTTAAGATCCCAAAGAGAGCCAGAGCCCAAGAGCCCAAGATGATTGCTGAAAAATTTAAGAGTGGACCTGTTCGGGTAGCATGATGAACTCGAGAAAGTTTTATGGTCGCCCAAATGTCACCTTTTCCCTTACGATATCTCACTCTCGACCCGAGAAAGTGTCATTTGGATGTACAAAGCGTTTCTTTTTCGAGTTTAATAATAAAAAGACTGAATAGCGATAATAATATAAATAGTTCTTAGATCTTCTATACATATTCTAAGCATATAAATACTTTGACTGTTACTGCAGACGAGTTCCATCGCGCTGTGAAGATATGCACCGGTATAGGACAGTCTGAACACCTGGTGACCACAGTGTTCGCGATCTTCGACGCGGACGGCGACGGTCTGCTCAGTTACAAGGAATTCATTGCTATCATGAAGGATCGCCTGCATCGAGGATTCAAGGTAAAGTACTTCATCATCATCAGCCCTTTTACGTCCCTACTGCAGGGGCTCAGGCCTTCCTTATGGATGGTTAAGGAGGATGGGCCATGACCCTCCACGCTGGCCCAATGCTGATTGGAGGGTATTAACGACTGCAAATACAACCAGGACCAACGGCTTAACGTGCCTTCCGAAGCGCGGAGTAGCGCGAGATAATAATTTTTTGGTCACCCATCTCGTGATCGACTCTTGCGAAAGTTGCTTAACGACAACGATCGCGCGCTTATTCACTATGACACCGAGCTACTTTCTTCATCATTATCACCAGCTATAAACGTTCCCACTGCTGGGTCTTAAGCCTTTTTTGATAATGCTTCTGCTGCTGTGTGCACGATACTCCGATTTATTTTCTTTTACAACCTCACCAGACTATAGGAATGTATAAAGATTACAACTCGCGTACGTTTGTACCTGGAAAATAATAATATTTCTTCCACAATGCATTCTCATAAAAACATAAATGGCTGCGACGGACCATTTTTAATTACAGATCAAATATAATTATAAAATCGCACATCAATTCTAATAAAAAATCAACACTCATATGTTTCAATTTTAATTATAATTAAATATTGATAGTCATTATAAATTTTTGTTGACAAAATCTTAAAGTTATATTTTTAAAATCTTATATAGGTACTCGAAAAATTAATTGCACAGGCAGATTATATTTAATATATATGTATATTATGTATAAGTATGTGTGTGTTATATTCTAGTTTATAGTCTATTTCAGATTATAATGATCTAAAATGTCTATGTAATATTATTCAACTGCGTTTATATTTATATATATATATTTGAGGATTTACACCTTTATATGTTGTAGGTATATATTGAGTGCTATATGTGTAAGTATATATATTTTCTTGCTAATTGCATAAGTGTACGTCTATTTCTCGAAATATCACCTAAAAGTTGACTGTCAGAAAATACTCAAGGCATTGAGTCCATCTGTGTACGACAGTTTAAAACGTATTAAATAAATAAATATCGCTTTTTTACAGTCCTACGCGAAGAATGAAGGCTGGGAAGCATTCAAGACCTGCGTTAAACAAGAAATGAAGAGTGCCGTATAAACATAGTAAAGAGTCTGACCGTAAATATTTAATTCGAATTAAATACTATAAAGGAGTTATGGCTTTGTAGAATATCTGAGCTACGGTATTACAAACTCGGTGGATCAAATTCCATCATATATTAAACTATCTTCACATATTACGACGCCCCCCAATTAGGGCTGATCCAGTCTTCAGGGCAAAGTTGAGGACAATGCATACTGCCTTCAAGTCAGGGTTTTTTATTAAATCTATCCATTAATGTTACAAATAATATTAATGGTCGACCTCCCCTGGTTTCTGTTGTCTGGACTTCCAGTAAATCTTTAAATTAGGTATGATCTTTAAATCATTTTAAAGATTGTGATTTAAAGTTTGATCCAATTCCATGCGTTTCCTTCAATAAAATGTTTGAATCGCTATCTTATGAAGCACAGAGCTCACGTTACAATACCATTCTTTATAGACCTACGCCTTTTAAAGGCCGAAAGTTCGATTGTTGCCATTAGAGTAAAATCAATATTAACTAGTTTTTTTTAGTTTCAAAAGCTTTGAAACTAAAAAGTTATACCTACTGAATATATTTTTCAGAGATTATTCCGAAGACACTGGATATATTCTCATTTTAGAAACTAGCTTACCTACACTAAATTTGTCTTTCGTGTGATTTTTTTATTATAATTAGTGTAAAGTTGCTTTCACACAGCACACTTAGAGATTGACGCTTCCTGTTTGTTGTCAAACATTTTTTAACAAATTGTAAAAATATTTTGTAAAAAAAGTTATCAATTATAAGTGTTTTGTTATATGTACAACTAATTTGTATTCGCAAAGTAATTTGTTGAACTATCGTAGGAGCTTTTATAACTAATATTTTATAACATCTGTGTGAGAGCATTTTTCATATTAGTAACACTCATACTGTTTGCAGGATTTGTAAAGACCTCGTATTATGATCAAGCAAAGCTTCTCACGCAAATTCATACATTCATAAAAAGTAACGTGCATCCGCCGGATATTTTGTCAACCACGTCGGATTGATGAAACGCGGTCATTGTTACTTTATCGTTCATTTTAGTAGATTAAAATAATCATTCTTGTCAAGTGTGCTCCGCCCCGTGTGCATGGGCTCATATAAACACTTAAATGGTATCTTCACACGATCACCGGTAGTCGAGCGTATATAAATGTCAAGTTCGTCGAACACCTTTTAAACCGAGTTTACATGGGGTCAGCAACTGAAGCCGAATTTACACAGGGTCTGTAACTGAAACGGAGTCAGGTCAAAAACGATAAAGAACTCATAACATGACCGACTCCGTGTAAATAATGCGGTCCGTTGACTGACATTACTGACCCTGTGTGTACGCTCGCTTACTGTCAGACATTTTGTCCCTCGTATGCACATGTATATGCGTTAACACTATTTCATTGGTTCTTTCTATGTTTTCATGCTACGGTAAACTTTGAAAATAATTTATAGTGCTCATTATATTTAATAAAATTTTACTTTATTTTTATTTGCCTTTAGATTCTAAACAATGAAACATATTTGTTAAAGTCGATTACATTCTAAGTAAACAAAGCACCTTTGTAATTTATTTGTTATTAATTTTAAGAAGGAGGCTGTGTTTGTTACCTACATACATTTAAACTTAATTTATAATTAGGTGCTTTTTGTGAATATTTTTGTTGTAATATTTATTTAAATCCGTACTAGATTTTTGAAATACAAAGACAACTGTGTTTGGTTGTATTCATTGTATAAAATTGGTCATATAAGTTGTTGATTATTTATTACAGTAATTTGTAATTTTCAAATGTCAATGGGTACTAGTGAAGAACACTACTTGAAAAAATAAAAAAAAAAAATCTTATGCAAAACATCGCCATAGTAAAAATAAGTCAGTAAAGTATTCTGGACTAATGTCTAGTCATTAAGTATCTACAATATTTAAGCCACACCTGTAAATGTTACAACTGGTCTTTGTAATAGAATAGTAAAGACGACGTATTTCAGATCCCAGTAAGTAAAGGTTGTTATTTCAATGAGATTGATATAGTATTTATTTGCTTTATAATATTTTGTGATTTATTACTTCATCTCAGTCTAATTGTTTTGAAAATTAACATGGTGCTTATAAAATTAAATTACATTGTTTTGCTAATATATTTACATTTAAAGTTCTAGCTAATTCTCTGCTTGAAATATAATGTTTATTTGTATAATGTTTGTCTTGCCTATAAGCAAATTAATCTTGCAACGGAAATGATATCTTTGATCGCTTTTGAACTATACTTTGAAACAACTTCCGTGTGCGTAATTATTTAATATTTAAAAATGTCTCTGTACAAATATTGTAACTAATATGGGTACTACCTGAAATTAAATTATTATTATTATAATGTTAAAAAAGCAAACTCATTAGTGATTTGATATTTGTAGGAGAAAATGAACTCTGTTATAATTAAGTAATTTATCAAGTGATACTTAGACCTGTGTGCTAGTCATTTTGATTTAAGTGTACAAATAAATGTTGTTAAATAATTTTTTAAGATGTAGTTACCAGTTTTAGTAGACCTATGCCCGTTTTCACGAAACTTAGGAGTCGCCCAAATCTGTCGCCTTAATTTTAGGGAATCTCCTAACGTAAAATGCATTTCCCAATTGACTAGGAACCACCTTACAAAATGAAGCAATATCTAAAGTTCTTCTTTTTTTAATTAATGGCTTATCTGCGCATATCGCACAATTCTGCCAATGTCAATGTTTTTACATGGAAAATGAAATGAATAAAAGATAGCGATGCATATCTAAAGTTATGCCTTGCGCTCGGCTACGTACATGACAGATGATAAATATGTCAATATGATTAAGAGAAAAAAAAATTTTTTGGAACTAAACTAATCTGCTTAGGCGATTCGTAATATTAGGCGTTTTCTAGTTAATCTATGCCTTATTCTAGGTTAGTGAAAATGGGTATTACTTTATTTTTGTCTTTAAAATACACGAATATAAATTATTTGCTTCCAATATTATAAAAATTAATGATAATTTATGGTTTTACTTCTTCAATTAACAACCTAAGTAGTAAAAGTATGACTAGCAACAAAGCGACCGATACGAAATCAGTTCGATTTGGTTTTTCGACAAGTCCGCATCTAGCGGGCTATCATAAAAATATGCATGATTAAATAAAACTGGTGTGAATTAAATGCTTTCCGGTGAAATGTTCAGATTAAGACACTCACTAGGCAAAACGGAACCGAAGCGAAGCGAACTCTGCGTTCCACTTTCTATTCGTTTTGAGCACAAAAGTTAATACTACAATTTCGTTTTAAGATCACATTTCACGTCTAACGACCACTCCTAAAACAGTTTCTATCGCCAGCAGCACTACCGCGTGTAGTAAAGAGTATTTTATAAACATCATCTACAAAGGAGTGAGAAAGGGTAAAGTGATAGCATACATTTAGCAAGATAAGATTTTTTTAAATTTATAATTAATTATAGACAGTATAATTTTATCTAACAGTACCTACATCATTGCTGCATATTTGCATATAAGAAGGAAGGGAATCATTTATATCCAAAGACAAAATATTGAAATGAAAAAGTTTGTTTACTACATGCGCTGATGCTGCCATTTACGCCGCACTTTGTCTTTAATATTTAAAATAAAATTACCTTAGTCCTTGAAAATATTTATTTTTCTTTTTGATAACATTAAAATCGATTCACACATGGATAGAAAAAATTGCTACAGAACCACATTATTAAAAATGTACAAGCTTACGTAAATATTTTATACATCACAACGACACACTATAGTTTATCGAAAATAACCTACAGCTGCCCTATTAAAAAAATATATTAGTGACATTAATCTTATCATTGCAAAAGTAAGGAACTGTATAACTTCACAGTTCATATTATTAAGTAATCGAATAAATAAAACGAAAATACTTATCAACTCCCATTTAAAACAAAATGCACACGATATTTTGAGCAGTCAACTCGCTAACAAATATATAATTTCTTACGACTAATTAATCTACATGAAATAAAATAAAATTTGAATTATAAGTGATTGTAGTCGATATAATATATTTTTTGATGTTATATATTTCTACAAATATATATCGTATCAAGATTCACAACATTTTGGAAAACTCTAGACAAAAATTCATGTATAATAATATTATGTACAGTCAACAGCACAAGTTATACTATTTAAAACCTTAATACATTGAAGGTAGTTTTTTTTAAAATCAATTGCGAAAATTTGACATATTGTGGTAAACTGACGTGCACCGGTATGTACAATGATGGTACTTGATGCTGTCACTTATGCGAGTTTATTATTCGCGGATGATAACAACAGCTCATAGAAAAACCACATTCTATGCTAACAATTATGATAAGATTTTGAGTGCAAAATGGAAAAGCATCAAATTTCTTAACTGTCCAACGTCCGTCCGTCTTATCTAAGTTCTTATAAAACGAGGACTAAGGTTATTACTACACCATTTGCCACCTAAGCAATTTGACAATGACAGAAGAAGAAACGTAAATTGAAACGTTTCGCTTCGATACTTATTTTAGTCGGATAATGGAATAAAATGGGCTAGGACTTAATGAATGCAGACTTTTAATATAATCGTAAAACTCGCAATTTGTTTTGGGAGGTTATTAAAACATAAATGACAATATAGCTATTTACTTTCTAATATACCAATTTGAAACCTTAAGAGCCTCTCCTGAAGTCATTGTTTTGCACTTCAGTCTTTATACATACATACTTAAATTAAAACAAAAATTGAAGATACAACACTTTTAATGGTATTACGTAACTTTTACAGTTGCATTCGCTTATGGTATGAATGATGATTCAAATGATTAAAATCATAATTAATAAAAACTTAGTAAACGCGAAATATTGCAGATAGAATTTCGTATGACATTTCTTGATAGCTTGTAAAGATATTTGCGTCTAACCCTTCTCTTTAACAATTCCAATGAACATTAAATTAAGGATATCGTTCATTCAATATCTTTCAAAAAACGTCACGATCGCAATCGCTTGTCAAATAGTTGCAGCGTGGCGTTCGTGAATATTTTTCAACTGTCAAATTGGGATTGACATGTCAAAAGCGATTGCGAACGATTTTAAAATTATAAAATAAGTCTCCTGTTTGCAACAGCCTTAACTAAATAATAAATTAAAATTAAATAGTTTATTTAAGAAGAGTAAACCAAAAATACTTATATAAGAACAAGTTGTTTGTTCATGTTTAATTCTTAAATAAAGGAAGTTGTTTGTTTAATTTAAATACTTATATACAAACGACAAAAGATAGAAAATGTGTTACCCCTTAGATGGTTTCGGCGCAGCAAAATTCATAGATCAGCGCTAATCCATTTTATGCGTTATGGCTGTATAATCAATATTTCCTTTGCCTTCAGAGTAAAAAATTTCAAAGCAAATCCTTCCATGTCTAGTCAAATACCAAATACTGTAAACTTGAAAACATAATCTCGTTTTGCTGGTGGGCGGCTTTAACATTGGAACGAAAAAACAAAAATTTTGTCACAAAACATAACTATATATGATTCTTCCGCTATTCAATTTAAATGAATACAGACCATATACTTTAATATATATTAATAATTTAAAATATATAGTAAAACCTCATTTTTTTATTTCTTCATTTGTAACATTGACAATCGTCGTTGCGAACATAGGATAATAAATATATCTATTGCGTTAATTTGTAAAATACTCTCTCTGTTAAAATAACTAAACTAGATTTAACATCCAGGGGCCGCTATTAAGTTCATATTAAGTCCTGACTCAGTGGGTACTGTGAGACGATGTCGCAGGGCGAATGCGGCTATTACTCGTGCGACCTAAACAAAATATAATTGAAAGATCAAATAAAATAATCTTTATACTATAGTCACTAGAAATACTCATAATTAAAATTTCTTAATTATTCCTACTCCAAAAACTTTATATCTTAAATATTTTTTTTCAATTCACAATACCGTTCCGATTCACGTCTTTGTTTGTCACACATTACCGTTCCGATTCACGATTAAAAACCTCATTAGTCTTTGTTTGTGACAAATAAATTATTTACACAACGCAATTCGGAATGGTTTGTTTATGGACTGTAATTGTACGTAAATTTGGTGAATTGTATTAATAAAATGAAAGACCCAGTGATTATCCATTATTATACCTCAGGGATGAGTATGGATTACAATCTGATTGGGTAAGTAATAATTGCCTTACTCCCCTTGTTAAATAAATACCTAATAATAATTAAATGAAATATTCTTTAAAGTACACAAACACTGTTAAGAAACTACCTTAAATAGTACTGAGTGCACCCTAAATATTAATAACAACGTGCATGCTAGTACGTATTAGTACGTAGCTAGTACCTAATAAAAAGGTACTTTACGATACCCGCACGCGTGTCTCCATAAACCATACAGCCAGTTGCACAAACGTCCATTAAAGTTGTCATTAGTTAACGCGACATTGTCAGTTAATGTGACAAGGATGGTGTTTTATAAATGACCCTGTATATTCTTTAAAACAATGATATAATTTTTTTTTATTTAAAACATTCTTTAAAACATTGATATAAAAATAGGTGGTATGTTTGGTAAAACTTTAATACTGACCTCCTCCGGAGTATCCTCGTGAACTGCATGACCACATCGTGTCAACACTTGCATTTGGAATTTACCTACAAATAAAACAATAAATGATAATGTTACCAAACATCTATCCAAGGTATAGAGAACAGCTGAATATCTCAAGAATAAAGGGCTGAACCTTACAGTACAGGTAAGAGAATAAATTTATATTTTGTATATACTCGCGTAAATAGAGACAATTCTTTATTATTTATTTAAATTTATTAGCTTTCCGCCCAGGTAAAAAAACTGCAAGGAAAACAAAATTAAATTTTGTGCATTAACTACAAATTTTTCCTGATTATAATAAACTGTATTGTGTTAATAAATATTGTTTATTTTGTTATAATATAATATAGTAAATCAGTGGGTACCCTGCATCTGTCCAACGGTCAGTTCCCTGTCGAGTCCGTCGACGGAGGCAAGCAGCAGTAGACGCGGCGCGGGAGCAGACAGGAAACTGGCGGACAAACCACGGAACCATCCGCCCCAGTGGCCTTCCGTACGGGACAAGTCTATGCGCCATTTGTACCGTCTGATATGTACAAAACGGAACATTCTCAATTTAGGGTTCATATCTTGATAAATATGCCTTGATAATTATAAAACACTACAATTTTTTTTAAACATTAGGACTTGTTATTGACGGAGGGTCATCTTAGGCAACTATCAAATATGGTTTCTATGATAGAGAAAATTGTTTAGTATAGACCTACAAAATTATGATATAGTACTACAGAATTATGAGAAATTATTTGTGAATGTAAATATTTTCAAAATTGTTGGTAGTAACTATGGATTATCTGATAATTATAATGTTCTTAATAATTACGTCTCAAAGTATAAGAGATGTTAATGGGCTGGTGATGATTCGGCAAATATGGAGACAAACATATAAAATTTGAAATTCTGTTTACGAGCTTACATAGACCGACAGTACAAAGTGAAGTAGTGTTTATGATATATTTAGCACTTTCTGATCATGCTGTTATTGACGCATCATTATTGTTGAAATTTTTGTTTTATTAAATGTTATTCAAAGGAATGAACTCATTCATTTGACTATTAGCTACTATAATTTTACTGACTTACTTCAAATCACCATTGGGCTTAACAAAATGTGCGTCATCTGTTGTATCCTTAGTGGTAGTGTCAGACGGTTGTTCACCGTCCAAGGGCTCCTCCTCTTCAGCAATAGAATCGGCCCTCGTCAAAGGCATGCTCTCTGAATCTAAGCTCTCGTCTGTGGAAGCCTCGTCTACTTCTCGAGTTGCTAACAAGCCAGTTTCACAACTAAAAAGAACAGTTTAGTGTTATAAAATGTGATGCCATTAGACTAGGCTCACACTGGACACGAATCTGTGTCATACGATTACAGTTCTAGGAATTGCGTACTGACTACCAGTGCCGTAACTATGTATACTGTTCGAGGCCCATGGCGAATTCATCAGATACACAAATTAAAGAAAGCAGACATGACTCTGAAGAAACACAGTTTTTGATAGTAGTACCTGATACTGCCTCTGATAAACAAATAATATTCAAGCTTTTAACAAAATTATAAGACGGATTCGAATTTATCATATATATCAAAAACCCTTAGAAAACTTTTTGAAACAAATAGACTACTGAATCGAAATAAAAATCGAATTCTTCCTGATGTTAAAAGAGAAAACATTATTAAATTTCAATAATACTTTTTTCACTTACTTAATAATTTGACTGGGCATTGACACTCTAGCAGAAGCAACATTCCTAACTTGTCCACTCCTCACGCTGAAATAGAATAAATTTAATCATAAAAATTATAAACAATACAATTCATAAGACAATTAAAATTATTTTTAATTACCACCACTCTATAGCATGCCGAATGCTTTTAAAATGTGTTGGTCGACCCCTCAAAAAGCTTTGCATACTTGCTAATGCATCCATTGCAGTGCCTATAATATAAAAAATGTATATAAAAATCACAATCAAATATGTAGCTATGAAAATGAATTATGAAGAAATGTAAGTAATATGTGTCCTATTTGTTTGTATTTATTTGTATACAAGGTTCTTTTTTTATTTAATTAGTATTAATATATTATAAGTTATTCTTCTCTATTATAGTTGAATTTAGCACATCTATTAAAAACTTAAATGCCAATTACAGATAGAGGAAAGGAAAAGAAAACTTAAGTTGAATTGTACAATTGATTTTCAATAATTTTCAACATAAATTGTATCTACTTCTACGAATCTACTACTACTACGAATTTCCTTGGACATGAAGACATATATTTTGCAATAAGTATACATTAAGTATTATGTTCAAGATATAACTAGAAAAGGCAAATAGTAATAATAAGAGATTACCTTCCACTACATCAATAACTACGAGTCCTTGCACATAGCCTTGCAAAGCAGAAAGATGTGAAGCTCTTACAGCAATGGCACCTCCCATTGAGTGGCCCACAAGAATAAGAGGTGGCATCTCATCACCATATAACTTCTGGAGAACTTGTTCTACATCTCTAGAATTATAAATTATGTTACCAATATAATATTGAATATTTAATGTACAGACAACAGCATAACAGAAATGTCAAATTTCAAAACTTAATTTTAAATCATACCACATTGAAAGTTGAGTCAAAATAAACTGTGGGATTTATCTACTGACATGCTATTTGTGTACTTATTTATATAGTCATAATTTTCATACAATTATTAGTCATATTTGAGCAAATATTAAACTAGGTTTTGTTTTGTTATTTTATTTTAGAGCTTTGCAATAATAATTTTGACAACCTTCATGGATACACCATGCCATAAAAGATAGTGCACACTCTACAATAAAATTTCCATAAATAATACTTACTTAACAAGGGTTTCAGCACTGAGATCATCTGGCTCCTTAGCTTGAGTCTCACCGTGACCCCTTATGTCCATTGACACTACTTGACAGTGAATCATATTGGTAATTTCTTCCTATAATTACACCAAATAATTATATTTTATTAGTGATTGTCTAGTGATTGAAGTTTAAAAAATTATCTAATTAAGCAATAACCAAAAAGATTATGGAATTATAGGAACATTAATAATTGCCAGAATTTTCACACATTATTATTAAAGTTAGTATCATTTTTTGCTTTTACCCTATGCCTAAGTAACTGCTGGGTGCTTATATATATCTCAGTTATAGTGTCTATTTTTATCAATTGGCCCCTTAAATATATTCATTTACAAATTAAAATCTCGAGTTTAAAAATGGTGAATATAGTTAACAAAATTAAGATTTCATAGGATTTTTTTTTACTTTTAATATAACAAATCTTAACAAAGAAGTTACATCTAGAGTTCTTCTATGCTTCATAAGGCATGTTATGCCATTAGTCCTGGCTACATTTAGTCATTACTACTCACTATTCCACACAGGGCAGTAGGTATCTGTTTTTAATAAAATAATGTGAATATTATTTTTTATTTTATATTATCACATTGTTCTTCAACAATATTTTTCTCAGATTTTTATAACTGTTTAGTTTAATGTATAAACATTTAGATAAAAAAATATTTATGCTATAATATTAAAACCTATGCTAAATAACAAACAGCATTACTTACAGTAAAAAGTGCCCAACTTAAGCCTGAATATCCACCACCATGCAATGTTATAATTCTTGGACGATTTGGATGATCAGGTTCCTCTGACAAGTATACTCGAAATGTCCCCCCTTCTGTTTCCACATCTTCATTTTTTTTGAAAAATCGCCTCCAAGATTCTGGCTGATAGTTTTTACAACGACTGGACATTCCAAATGGTGCCAATTTCCTAAAGTATTAATAACAGGGTGTTTATAGAAAATCATTTTATTAAAAAAAAATTTCAGACTAATTGATTTTAACACTGTTGATAAAGTATTCAGGAATAATTTAAAAAATAAAATAAATAGTAACATAAAAACATTCAGATGCATACGATTTATTAGTTCTTGGGCATCTTGGAGGTAATTTATTCTTCAATATAGATTTTTGTAATGCAGACATATCTTGGTAGTATTTTAAAGTTTTAATCTACAATCTGAGGTATTTTTTGTTAAAACAATGCAAACTATTGCGGCATGACGTCACAAATAATTCATTATTTTTTTATTGAATGTCATAAATTAGAGCTGTGCTTCATTAAATTTTGTCCACCAATGAGAAAGTATTTAAAAAAACACATTAGTTCCTGAAATCAAACTAGATGTCGCTACAGTACGTTCTTGATTTCTCCATGACAACCTTTCTGGTTTTCTTTCATATTTAAAAGTAAATTAATTTTCAAAACTCAATAAACAACTTATATTCTTTCTTACTTTTTCGTATTTTTATTGATATCTAAGTTTCAAATTTTTCAAATTTCAGTTTTTAATATGTTAGTTCAAAGGAACGGAAATGGTCTAGTCGTTTCCTACAAAAATCAACTTTTGCTAGAGTCGCCATCTAGTGGAGGTGATTTTTTAGTTCTTTCGTTATTTTTTTAAATATTTCCTCACTGTGTAAAGCCGTACAACTTGTTCTGTTTATATCTGTAGAATCATAAAAACTTGTTCTTGTATAGTCTGTACTTGTAACTTTGTATCTTTGTAAAATTGTTTTGAGCAGAATTTCGTAGTTTTTATTTTTTCTTTAGATAATTCAATTCGAATAGATATTTATTTTATATAAATAGTTATTTTCTTCTTTCTGGTGAGCTGGTGTTAAATCACCGTTATGGATTTTTCACAAATATGTCGTGTCTGTCTGCAATCAAATAAACAAATGTTTGATATTTACAACAGTTACACCAAAAACAATATATTATATTGTGAAATGTTGTCTTATTGTACTAAAGTTAAGGTTAGTTATTATACTAGAGAAATTTTAAAATTATGTATATTATTAATAAGACTATTACATATTGGGATATTATTTTTAGCCTAGCAAAGAAGATGCATTACCACAGTTACTATGCAAAGATTGCTGTAGGCAGTTACGAAGGACTTATGCTTTTAATAAACAATGTGAAGATAGCGATTTAAAATTAAAACAATGTTTGGATAACTTACATTCATCTAAATATGGAGAATCTGGTTTTATTTGTGATACTACAGAGAATTTGAAAAACAATCTTGAGTTGAAACCATTAAATCACATCGAAACCACAACACATATTTTAGGAAAAGTACATAATTTAAAAAGTAAAGAAGAAACATTATCACAGCTTAGGATTGACATAAAGACTGGTAAGTTTATGAAAAAAAATGCGAACTTCTGCATTCACTATACTACTTATTTTGAAAACTTTCTGAGCAATATAAATGACGTTGTTTAATGTTTGTATTTAAACATTACATTCATAATTTTGTGTACCTATTGAATTTTAATTTTATAGCATAACTATTATTATGCTCACAACTGTTAACTCGTGGTCCACTATTGAAACAAAGGGATAAAATGCATTAACTGTGCCCATGGTCTAATGATTATAAACATGTATAATTTCAAATATAATCACCATAATTATTTATTTAATGAACTGCATTAAGAGTGTCATATTAATAATATTAGTTAAGACAAGTGCATATTAGAAGAACTGTCATAAACTAAGCAAGGCAAGTAAATAGGACTTGAAAACATCTAACATTAGTTTTGTTGTCTGGCTCTAGTCTCCCACATATGTTATTGTTCCTTATTACCTCAAACCTTCCAAACAAATTTTTGCAAGAAAAAAAATGCCTTGATAAGGCAGTAACTTTTACTACCTCTATTATTCTGACCTAATAAAAAATTATAATTAATAAGGTAAATGATAAATAACAATTGATAGAAATCATTTGAAGAACTATCATAATTTTATGTTTATTGTGGTTAACAAATGGTGGTAAAGTTTTAGTTCAATATAAAAATTTCTTCTCTGCAGAGCCTAATTATGATGTAGCAAATGATGAATCCTTTTGGATGGAAGACAATGGTGATGATGATGAAGTTACTTTGCCAGAAAAACCAAAAGCCAAAAGGAAGAAAGGTAAAAAAACAATTTGTTTTGTTACAGGTTATTCTTGACATTTATCTATATTAGAATTCTGTTCTGTCACCAAAATATATAATATAAGTAACTGGCCATTAATGAATTCTATTTGAATACTACAGAACCAGATGAAGAAGAAGAAAAGCCAAAGAAAAAGAGAGGAAGGAAGAAAAAAGGTAATTTATTTTGTCATTAAACATTGTGTTGCATTGAACTTAATTTTTTTATAACAGGCATGTTACGTTATAGGCATATAATAATAATAAATGATTAGGCCTACTAATAAAAATCAAGGATAGATCTAATTATATTGTACCCCTCTGTAGAGTAAACTGAACTTTTCATTTTGGTTTAATTTCACTCACATGAAAAATAATATAATTAGACTCTTGTACACAATAATATATTAAGTTTACTTCTGTTCTCTTAATTATTTATAGAATTGAAAACTCTGTTTGACAGGACTAAAACTAAATTAATTCTTGTTCTTGCAACAGAATTACCACCATTGTCATCTTACTTTCGTATTATTTCTTTCACACCAGTATTGACAATTTATACTATTTTATATTTTCAGTTTGTCCAGATGGCGAAACGTCATTACCAGAAAGCAAACTGCCTCACCAGTGTGATGTTTGTGGGAAAATATTAAGTACAAAAAGTAACCTCAAAGCACATAAGATATGTCACACTGATTTAAGGCCATATAAATGCACCGACTGTCCAGCCACGTTTAGGTAAATGATCTTATACAACATGAAAGCTGTCTGATATTGTTTATCAACAGTGGATAAACACATTTTATATAGGGTTATTTATAAAACACCAGTGCCTCCCAGGACTAGATAACTAAGATCATACAATGTTTATATGATCTATTTAAAATTTTTGTTCTGCTGTCTTATAACATTTTCAAATTATTTTAGCAGCTCAAGCATGCAAAAACCACTGTGTGTGTGAATGTGTGTGTGTGTGTGTGTGTGTGTGTGTGTGTGTGTGATATATTGTATATTGTTGAGTTACATTGTGAATGAATATGCCTAGTGTAGTAACTAGTTGAAAAACTTAATTTTTGTAAACCAAGATAAAGTTCATAGAAGTATTAGTGCAACTTTCTGTCTTAAGACTACATTACCATTACTAGACGCCAAACGTCATTCACAGAGTAGTGGGCAATGAATAAAGTAATAGTGAGCATAGTAATAATTTCATTTTTAAAATCAGTGTAATTTTATACAATAGTACATAATTGCTGCATATTTGGATGTAAGAAAGAAGGGAATCACTTATTTGTCTAAAAGACAAATGTTCTAAAAAGTTTTTTTGTGTAAGCTTGGCTTTGTATAATATTTCCTATTATCAAGTCATTAAACAAGTGTTGTTATTTATGATGTTATCTACCTAATCCTGCATAGATGGTGTTTTATGTCTAACCCCATATAACTTATTTACATAACAGAGGACACAGTGCTCTATTTCAACACAAGAAGGTTCATACTGGTGAAACTCCATATCACTGCCAGTACTGTCCGAAACAATTCAGTCGGCGAACAGGACTTGTCAACCACATACGCATGCACACAGGCAAGAACAAAATAATATTCAATTAATCATACAACTATAATATAGTAAAACGTAAAATGAGTGTACAACTTTGGTATTGTTTTGTTATGACAAGTCATATTTAAGCTTGTTTCCTCTCTTTTTAACAGACTTCAGAAAATGGAGGAGGTTCTCAATTCGACTGTTTATTTTTCTGTTTGTTATCTTATAATTTTTTACTGGGTAGACCGATTTTGATGATTCTTTTTTATTTCAAAGCTAGTGCTTGGTCCAGATCTGCTAATGGTATCTATGAGAAAACCATATAAGTCTTTAATTTGCATTAAGTATACATGATGTTTGTTACCTCAAAACTTTTCACAGTGTGAAATGATCCTGTTGATTGTTTTTTTTTTATTTTATTTGAAAGCTGGTGCTTCCCATTTCAATTTTCATCATATTTGTCAGACTTAGGAGAAAATTTTAGGTATATTAACAGATAAAAACAAGTATTTTTAATTTTACCTGTTATATAAAAATATCAATATCACTAAAAAACATGAAAAAAACTAAAAAAATATAGAACTGACTTCAAACTTAAAAAAAAAGTGAATAATAATACTTATCTCAAAAGCGACTTATTCAAGAAAATGCTATTGAAGTCATTAAATGACTTCCATAGCATTTTCTTGAAAAAGTCGCTTTTGAGATAAATATTATTTTTCACTTTTTTTTTGTTTGAAATCGGTTCTATTATTTTTATTTAACCTGTTACATAACATTAGAGATTTAAAAAATGTCTATAAACATATTGCATTTATTATATACTACTGTATATGTCAATTATCATATTGTCAATATAGGTTATATATAGGTATATGATACCTACAGGTTGTTCACTATTATTAAAATAAACATGTAAATGTTGGTTGATAAAATTATCAATTTTATTTTAATATAAAATTAAAGTTTTTTTTTATTCTGCATAATATTCTACTTCAGTAAGCAAAAAATTGTGCACTGATAGATTTTTTCTGTATTTACATTAAAACTTCTCTGTTCCAATACAAATAAATGTATGTGCATATTAATTGTTCATTTTTTTAAGGTGAAAAATTGTACAGTTGTGATATTTGTTTCAAGAATTTTGTTCAGAGCGCACAACTTTCAATACATATGAAAAGACACAAAGGGGACAAATCATTCTTATGTCAGGATTGTGGTAAAGGTACTTTAATCTTTTAAACGTTTATTTATTTAAGACAATCGGCAACAGACATTAGGATACAAGCAAAAAATTTTGAGTAACAAGATATGTAAGCTGTTCTAGACGTCACAGCATTCATTTATAAATAATAGACTAATTATAAACCCAGTGCAAATTGGTGGGTGTTAACGGCTGTAAAAACAGTCGGGACCAATTGCTTAGCGTGATTTCCAAATGGTTTTGGTCACACATCCCATGAAGGTCCCTTGCGAAAGTGGCCTAAATTCTGCAACGCAGACGAACCCGCTAGTCGTCACAATAGCATGCATCAATAACCACAGATATTATAACACCATACTAGATAATACATATAGAATATAAATTATAGGTTTTCCGATCAAATCGGACTTGAAAGTTCACCAACGAATTCATAACGGTGAGAAACCTTACGCGTGCCATCTCTGTACGAAGACATTTGCCACCTCTGGAAACCTGTCAATACATGTTCGTATACATAATAAGGAAGTCAGGTACGTATAATGCCCGGCATGTAAGATGAACCAGAAGGTGATTTTTCACGCAAGTCACGGTATACTACGTTGCTATGATTACCCGCTGTGTCTCTCCTTTGAACCTCTGTAGAGATCCGAAATCCCCGCCTCTGTTGAGGCGCCGCGCTTTGTACTCGCATAGTCACGTAAAGTCGACCTGCTTTAAATCAATTTTTTTTTTCGCTAGCCCCAAGTGCCCTGGTATACCTAGTGCTGGTGGTTTTTCGAAGCAAGATTGACCAAATATAATATTCTGAAAGTTTTGTTAAATGCCTAGTGAAGTAGAGATTATGGATTTGCAAATTAATAAACATACATTTTAATAAAATTATAAAAATTACTTTTGCGTTAACTACTTCAATAAATTTATAAAATGTCTAAATTTATAATATTGTTTTTACTTCAGATACAACTGCAAAGTATGCCATCGAGGTTTCGTGACCCGTAGTGCTTATAATGTGCATGTCAAACGACACAAAGGGCAAAGGGATTATCACTGTGAATGCGGAAAAATGTTCTACACATCATCTGCACTCAAACAACACAAAGTCGTTCACACCGGAGAGAAGAAATATCAATGCAAGATTTGCGAGAGGAAATTCACACAAACGAGCCATCTTAGCCGCCACTTCAAAAGGGATCACATGAAACCAAATGCCCCAGTGCCTTCATCTGATTACTATAAGACAGTGTTGCAAGAGGGGAGTAAAGTGTTTAATATGCTTGGAGACAATGTACCAAAAGTAGACTCTGGTGTGAAATGTGAAAATTCTTAATAATTTATTTATTGTTATGATAACAGTGTGATGTGAATTTATTTTGTTTGAGGAATGTAGGGTATATTTATATTTCTAATATTTGTTCATAATTTAGTATGATGCATTCATTCATTCAGTTTTGAACCCTCTGTAAGTGATAAAATACAAATTTATCAACAGATATAAAATCGAATTACAACTTGACGGTATGTCCCGGTTTAGTTCAATAGTCCCGCTTGCGGACTTGTCTTATCTGTCGTCCCAAGCGATAGTAAAATGTCCCACTTCCACAAAAAGGCAAAAAACAGTTAGTACCTATTTATATAGTTAAGTCTACCGAAAGATTTTTCCGTTGTGAATGTTATGCAACAAGTGCTAAAAGTAATCGAAAAGTAGCAACAAATCTTGATTGTGAATTATCACAGTTTTCCCGTTTCTACTTGAAAGGTAGACCCAGAATTTTAAGAAATGTATGCGCAACGGCTGGCATTCTAACGTAAAATTAAAATTACATATTATTATTATACTGTTCTCATATAAGTACTTGTATATCGTTAAATAAGTTTTTTATGAATTTCGCAAGAAGCCCACTTAGAACATAAAGATAATATATTAATTGTAATATTATTACAGTCACTGAACTGCCTTCGATGTCCCCGATTAAGTGAAACAAGTTAAAGATTAAAACAAAAAAAACTAACTCAATTGAATGAAATTAAAAACATTATGCAAGAGTCAGCCCAACCTAGCAAGCTATTATAAAAAAAAATGTACACGACGGTCACGAACCCAGTATTTTTGATATTCACAGCAGTGTTCCTAGCCGTACGATAATTTCATGATTATGCAAACTTTTAAGAATTTACTATATTTCTACCATAATATGATGATATTTTCTCTCCCTTTTTTATTAAATTTAAATACAATTAATTTATCCGTAGACTCGATGAAGGGAATCATTATACATAATCAAATCACAGAACAATATATACGAGTACATAATATAACTGTTATACGATGCTCTCTTATAGCGGAAAAAACAAGTTCGCTTGTTGACACCTCTGGCAGTTTAATTAGAATGGTTTTAAATGTCTGTCGCCTGAGACATGTGAACTTCTTAAATATTTTTGAATCACATATGGGCATTTGTGCACTACACTGAATTTCGGTCCTGAAAATCCGACTTTTTCCGGTCCGGAATGACATGAAAAACCCCGATGACTAGCTTGTGCACTTGTACTTTTATTCCGGATCGGAGCAGCGAATTTTAGGGCAGCTCTCTGAAGCTATACGTCGTCAATAAAAATTAATTCTTAGAATCATACTACATGTCATTCGCGATGTTTGGATTTTGTTTATGATATTCATTCAAATTTTGTTTCTGACGTAATAAAAGTAAATTGAGCATCGAAAATTAATAAATATGACATCGTTTTGTGTTTCTTATAATATCTAATTGAATTACACATCTTTCATCAATTTCATTTTACATGTAAAAAATAATTTATTTACTTGACATTTGCAGAATTGTGCGAAATGCGCAGATAAGCCATTAATTAAAAAAGAATAATATCTAACTTTCAAATTTATTTTAATCGTAAGTTTATGTTGTTTATTATGTTACGTATAAAGGAACGATGTTTGGTTAATATGTCAACATTAGTGATGGCCAACTTATGGGTTGCTCGTAACTTTCATCCGAATTCAAGTTTGGAATGAAGAAAAAGCGGAGCGCAGAATTCAGCTTGTATTTGTATGTGTCATTATGCTTCCACGAAACAAATGACATTAATATAAATATCAAAATCAATTGAATCTAGGCTCATAATACTTGTGACAGTCGAAAACTTTGCCAATGGTTCGCAAAACTAAGGCGGGAGATCTTGTACTGACAAGAATCGGTAAGAAACGCAGCATGGTCTGCTTTTTTAATTTCAACTATTCTATATGTGAGGGAACGTAACGACCTAACGCACACGACACCACCACGGAGATTTTAAGAGAGCATGACTACTCTAGGTACTTATTAAATAATATATTTTAATAAAACTGATTTCTAGAGTAGGTTGTATAGGAAGTCAATCTATTATTAACAATATTATTTTAAGAACCAAAACGCACATACCCACCGTAGGAATTAACTTAATACATGGCTCGACGTCCGCCGTCGACATGCAAGATCAGTAGCAATAGTATAATAACTGTTTGTCTTTGAAATTTAAAGTTATAACATTGCTGTTCGTTTAGAACAGACGTTTCTTGTTGATTGCTGAATGTTTATTAAAATGATTTAATTTAATAATTGATCATAATGTGGAGACCACGGGGGGGACACTCCCTTAGTAGCCATAATTTTGCAAAGATAGTAGCGACATCCATTTTATTTCCCCAAAACTATTATGAGTACTACCAGGTGTGCATAAACAATACTAGATGACGCTACACGCACTCTCGAAAAGACGAAATTTTTTACTTATTTGGATCAATTTGTCAAAATCAATATGGCGATTACTGTGCTCTTGCGTTCATATATTTGTATTTTGTCTTCGTCATTTTGTTCTAGTGGCTACAAAACCTCAAGTTAAGTGTGTCGAGTTGAGATTTATTCTTCTCCACCTTACCGTGTATTTGTGCTGTGGATTTCTGTAGTTTCAGAACTTTATCGCGACAGGACGCTTATTTAAGTTTGTTTTGTGTTAAGATTATTATTGTCGTAATGCCCCGACTTTGTTCTTTCGGACGACACCTAGTGGTAAGCATAATAATAATCTATTAAACTTCAATGCAGCTAACTCACATCATGTTTTTAATTGACTTTAACAATGAGGTTATCAATTATTTATTTTCCTTCTTATCAACACACTAACGAAACAAAAATAACCAATAAGTTTCTATAACACACCGTATAAAGTGGAAAGAATGAGATAATAACTATATAATGGCTATATCTTTAATGTCTATAATATTGCCATGACTTCCTGTTTCAGATGTCACTATGCACTCATTCCCAAAACCTGAAGTTTCCTGAACGTTTCAAAGCTTGGGTTACATTGGTTGGTGGAAAACTGGAAACAGAAGGAAAAAGTTTGCGATATTCATTTTATACACAGACATACAAGTCGTTTTAGACGTTTGAATGCTTTGGCTGTCCCATCAGAGAATTAACAGGGTATGTATGTTTATTTTGAAATACAGTAAAAGTTTAGAAATCGCTTTAGGCACAAATCTTAGGAATAACATAAAAATGTGTAATGAAACAAACATTATGAAACAATGGGAATAAAAAAAGGATGGGCTATGTTTTGACAAACTCCATATAGGTGCAGATGTGCTTGTGTGTCATGTGAACATTAATTAGTATGGCCCCGATTGACAGATTTAAAATCTAGACTTTAACAATGAGGTTATCAATTATTTATTTTCCTTCTTATTTTCTTATCAACACACTAACGAAACAAAAATAACCAATAAGTTTCTATAACTCACTGTATAAAGTGGAAAGAATGAGATAATAACTATATAATGACTATATCTTTAATGTCTATAATATTGCCATGACTTCCTGTTTCAGATGTCACTATGCACTCATTCCCAAACCCTGAAGTTTCCTGAATGTTTCAAAGCTTGGGTTACATTGGTTGGTGGAAAACTGGAAACAAAAAGAAAAAGTTTGCGATATTCATTTTATAGACAGACATACAAGTCGTTTTAGACGTTTGAATGCTTTGGCTGTCCCATCAGTGCATTAACAGGGTATGTATGTTTATTTTGAAATACAGTAAAAGTTTAGAAATCGCTTAGGCACAAATCTTGGGAATAACATAAAAATGTGTAATGAAACAAACATTATGAAACAATGGGAATAAAAAAAGGATGGGCTATGTTTTGACAAACTCCATATAGTGACAAAATCCATATGTGAACATTAATTAGTATGGCCCCGATTGACAGATTTAAAATCTAGACGGCAATACCTGAAAGCGGTTGGCTTATTTAATATATGTCACAGTGAGTATGACTGTACTGAATTAATAAATAAAATTAATTATTTAGTACCTAAGCGGGCGCAAACGAGCTCCCTGCGTAAACACTAACTGTTTGCTATATTTAAATTTTGTACAAATACAGGCAAGAGATCTCCAGTGCATTGAGTAGCAAAATTTTATAACAATGGTTTACATGAAATCGACATACTCAATGTAAACAAAACAAAATTCAAAGAGTTAGTTAAGAAAGAATAAGTGAACTAAATTGCAATGCCATATCATCATAAAGTAATATATATTATCATATTTGTAACAGTTTTGTTTGTGTAGTGTTCATTTTTCTTAGTAAGTGTTTAAGCTGATAACATATGCAACTTTCAACTACTCATAGTAACTTGTAGTTAACGTTGCTTTTGCAATTATAAAACTGTGTACATCATATCATAAATTGGAATGCTATTGTAAAACTGTTTGTTGACCCAAATAAACAAAACAAAAAAAAACTCCAAATCTATGTTGGCTTAGTAATAGTAACAGGACAAATTATAATATTACTAAATTCTATACATACACTTTCCTAAAAGTCACGAGCACAGCTAGATTTGTAATGATTCAATTTAATATATTGATCAATCACATGATGTTTTCTAATTTCTACTGTATATAAAAATTACCACCAATAACCATTACATATCCAACCAACCAGTGACATGTATAGTTATTGTTTTAGTAAAACTCAAAAGAGTATTTTTATAATTTCCAGGTTCAAGGGGAATTCTTGAGGAGCTCCCAGTTGCTCCTAATGAAGAAAATAGTCAATTGTCAAGAAGTTCAGGTAAATTTAACTTGGAACTATAAATTTGAATTAAATTTAAAATAAAGATTTTAATAATCTATTTTTTATGGAAGAAATTACATAATTGTTCATTTTTATTACAGGTTTGTTTCCAACAATGACAGAGGAAAGTTTGTATTCTTCAAAGTATGGCAACCAATCTCATGATAAATTGCAATCTTCCCAAATGTCCTCTTCAGGTAAATAAATAATTATTAATACACACTAGTATACTGGGTATGCTTAATTATTATAATAACTTTTTATATAATTTCATATCAATAATTTTATTATTATAAAATGTACATTTGAAATAATGACTATTGACATTTACTGACTGACATTAACAAGACATTTAATTAGCTCAGTGTGATCTTATATTAGGTGGAGGTGAATGAATATATAAATAAATAAATATTTAACAACATCACATACATTGCTCAGATTCCAAGATGAGTAGCTAAAGCCCCCGTATTATGGAGTATCTGAGACAACGAAGGTACCACAACACCCAGACCCGAGTCAATAAAGAAAAGTTCATTTTCTACATTGACCCGACCGGGAAACGAACCCGGGACCTCAGAGATGGCGACACCTTGAAACCGGCGTGCGAACCACTCGCCTACGGAGGTCGAATTTTGTTTAAAATAAGACTTGTATTAAGTAATATTCATTTTTTTTTATATCAACATATATAATATTCAAGACGCCTAAAAACAATTCATTTAGCACTTATATAAAGTTCACCTGTTTTAATTTTTGTTAATATAACCATCATTCTATATATCACTCAAATAAAGTTTTTTTTCTCATTAAGTTTAATTTGTATACCAAGTAATTAATATAACCATTATTTTATATATTTAGCAATGTTCAATTACAATTTTATTATAATCTCTAAAAATTAATACAAAGATTATAATCTAATTTATGAAGATTATATAGTTATACAACTAAAGACTACAAGTTATACTACTAAACATATATATAGTCAGTAGTTTTCTGTGGAAAATGTAAGAGCGAGAAAAAATTACTAAATAGAAGTAGATACTACAATCATTTCTGATATAAATAATTGATTTCGTTCTCAAATACTAGTTGAAGACATAGATTATTTTTTGGTGTTAATAATATAGATATATCTTTAATTTTCAGTTGACTCTCAGTACATCCCTTATGTAGAAGATATCATCAGGGAACATAACTATAGTTCGTGTAGCAGATCTAAAAGAACGCACCTCCACAAAGTATTTAATTTAAACAGTTATAGTAAATAATTTTAAAAACTATTATCATGGACCTTTATTATAAACAGTACACAAAAGGTTTCTTTTTTATTTTACAGTTGCTGATTATATTACCAAAAAGTTTATGCGGCAGATAAATGCTATGGAGAATTAAGATTATTAAATAAACTAACGGAGGAACACATTGATCCTGAAAAAAATAATAAAATGTTTAATTTTATTTCTTATAGCCACAGACGTAGAACCAAGTGTTTTAGTTGATGATCCCCTAAATGCCCGTAATTGTGTTATGGTACTTGTAGTTGTCCCTGATGTGCTAGGCTGCAGGTCTAATATTTCAGGCCTTCACAACATGAACATCCTCGTTGGCAGGAGACAAAGATAGTCTTTGCGGCGGCAATGAAGTTGCCTTGTCGCTAAGTGATTTCGATATCAGCTTTTGGAATAACTGTAACTTCCAGCGTCAGAAAATCCTCCTCATGTTCACTCCCAGAAGGGATATTCAAGAAATCTTTAATTTCGTCACTACACAATCCTCTTCGCGACATAATCTATAAAAGACAATAAAAGAATAGTAATTATTTGGCGTAAGTACGAAATAGTAAAACGAGCACGAAAGCTCAATGTACCGTATCTGGCACATAGATAAAATGACGATTTCTAATACTATTACTACAGTAATATAAAAAAATAACTTACCTCTGCATAATATACACTCCCTTATTTCTCACTTATTTTTTTTGGACTCAGAACTATGCGATTACTATTTTTTAGAAATTGGTGAAATCACGAGAGTTGTTAACGTAAAACTTTTACTCAAATTTTTTGCCAAACTATCTAAACAGGAAGCAGTGGCAACATATATGCGCAATGCTTTGTATTATTTTGTTGCTAGATATCCAACGGTTGTGTTCGGATTGATAATAGATGTCGCTGCACGTTTTTCATCGCTGTAGGGACGATATAAATGGTTGTCCCACATATGGTACTGGGGGCCTTGTAGGGTTAACTATGTATGTGGATGGGCATTAAGAAAATATTTGAAAAAGGCGAAATGCAATGCATGCAGCAATATATCGCAAGATAAAAATGGAGAGAACCTACATAATACATTTATAAAATCAAAAGAATATAAAAATTGGTTATGTTATCCAAGTACTCTACTAGAAAATTGCTTTCGTGATATGCAAAATATTACTACTCACATAACGTTAAATTTTTTTTTTTTTACCAAAAGTAATATATCAGGAAATATACTTTGTTGTAAAATTATTTGTAACTGCCTCCTGTGTGTTCTTGTTCTTATCACACTGATTGTTTTTATTAACATTTTGTTAAAACAACTGTACATTTAATTATTTATAATTGGTGCAAGTCAGTAAATAGAATTTTGAGTGGAAGAATTAATTACCAGGTTGATGACGAGACCAAATTGACAGCGCAAGTATATTATAATAAGAGGAAACAATACAAAAACAGAAAATAATAAAATGTATACTTGTATTTTTTATGAATGACTATGCTGATCATGTGCTGTATGCATTTGTTTAACTTAGCGAAATAAACAACTTATAATAAGTGAACAATGTCGTTTCTTTTTCAAGTTTTTGTCCTCTTTTTGTTATCGTCGCTCGAAAAATACAAACTGTAAAAACCATAGTAAAACTTTTAAAAGAAAGTTGTTCATTATGCTCAATTTTCTTTTAAAAGTTTTACTACAGTCTTTACAGTTTGTATTTTTCGAGTGGCGCGAAGAAAGAATCCTATAACTATAATACATACCTACTATAGGTATACCTATATAGCAATAGTTTTTGGGGAAGTAATGCAGATGGCGCTTCAATTCTGATTGGCACTAAATACACGCGAGAGGGCACTCTTTTTCCGTATTATTACTGTACTCTTTGGTGGAGACTGATACATAGCGACATCTAACCCATTGCACTAACATCGCCACAACAATCGATAGCGAGAAGACTAGCATCGTCACAGCCATCGATAGCAAGACGAACTGCAATAAGTTTCAACAGCAAGTAACGAGATGGCGCTGTACCAATACAAACAGCATAAATTAATAACTACAAGGCATTTAGAACAAAGAAATCTACATCGCCCACAATAAGTTTCATTACCAATTAGCATAAATAGAACGTCCAACCTAGATCGGTTGGACCGCGGTCCCCGGGCTAACAACACCTAGCTCGGAGGGAGACAATTATCCTTTAGTTTCCCTGGCCAGTTGTCTCCATCACCACAGTAGGGACCAACATTCAACCTAAAGGTTCCTAAAATAGGTTTTTCAAAGTCTTAATTTCGAAATCACAAGTTATTGCACGTTTCACTTATCACAAACGTCATTTTAGCCAGAAGTCATGTTATTTTGTACGAATACCTAGTATATTTGATACATATCCGGTAAGTATATAGATAATGAACATATTCTTTATTATAATTATCGTTTTTATGACTTTTTTTGCTGATTAATAAACCCTATTCATTCATTCACCATAAATAATATAAAAATATTATTGAGACTTGATGTAGTTTTGTTGTTGTAAGTTCAACAAACAACTAATAGCAATAAAATTAACTTACCTAGTTGTTATTGTTTTTAGAACTATTGTTAAATATTATAATGAAAAATTCCTAGACCTACTATGGCATAAGTATTTTATTTATAAAAACTATTTGGCGGTAATATTATTGTATACCGTAGCTAAATGCCACTTTTAGTTATATCACAGCATTAATTCAATTGATATCCATAAATTAAAAAGAAATCTATGTGCTCACTTCCATTATATTAGTTTCCATTTTGCTCTATACAAATAAAAAATAAATTTATTCAAAGATTACTTGGTATTACCCTCCAATCCGCATTGGGCCAGCGTGGAGGGTCATGGTCCATCCTCCTTAACAATCCATAAGGAAGGCCTGAGCTCCTGCAGTGGGGACGTAAAAGGGCTAATGATGATGACTTGGTATTACTCGAATTGCGTTTGCCTAACTCGATCTAATTAAATTTCAACTCGATATTAATTCGAGTTATCAGATCCATAAAAACACTGACAATTCTATTCTCTTTGGTTTAACGTCATGAATTGACGTTTAGATCCAACAATTTGTACTGCCATCTAGTGACATAAAATGTAGTTTTTTTTGTTTTTCTTTAAATACTTACTCATTCGTTAGTGCACTTGAATTTGCTTACTATTGTCGAAGCACTTGCCCCCGCATGCTCACTCCAGTCTACTCCATGCATTGACCTAAAAATCTATTCCCTGTTTCCCAGCAAAGACTATATGCCTTTTGATTAAAATAATGAATAATCTGCGCTGTGCAATACTTTATTTACTCTTTAGTGCTCTCGTAGAGTACTTTTGTTCTGTGTTAGTGCTGCGCGGTTCCTTGGCTGTGCTTTTACTGTGTTTTACTATTATTATACTTACATACTCTTACTCTTTGTGTTACTCTATGCATAGACTAATATTGTAGTAAATGTGTTCTGTGATTGTAGTACTCTTTGCCTTGCCTGTGTGACAGATTTTGAAGAGTGAACAGCCGCATTATTTTTCTTATTTTGTATTTAACATACTTCGTTTAAAAAAAAAATCCAATGTATTTGAAATAAGTATATTGTTAGGATGACAATGGAAAGGAGGATAAAATTAAAAACACTCAATAGTCACATAACTTGTAAAATTTGCCGTGGATACTTTATAGACGCCACCACTGTCACAGAATGTCTACATACGTGTTAGTATTTATTTACATTAAATTTATTACATAATTACTCACATAAAATTTAGAACAATTACAGCTTGTAATTTTTGTGTAAATAGCTTGTTTAAAGTAAATACATTGACATACTTTTCTGTAGGAATGGACCTATTTAAATCAATTTTTAATATTAGGTTTATACCTTTAATAAATTTATCGACATGATCCATAGTCTACACATATTTCCCTTTCAGACTTACTCTTCAACATAACTTTGTTTCAACTTTGTACTTTTTCAGTTTGTAAAAGTTGTCTTGTCAAGCATCTCGAAGAGAATAATACTTGTCCAACATGCAATATAGTGATACACCAGTCACACCCATTACAGTATATCAGTTTCGACAGAACAATGCAAGATATTGTATATAAGTTGGTGCCTGACCTACAGGACAGTAAGTATGAAATTAGATACCAATAACATAAACCAGTTTGTACATCAGTTTCATGGTGTTGTTATCTCTGAGGCTTCTGGTTTGATTTCCAGTTGGGTCAACATAGAAGAAATTCTTTTCTATATTGCCTTCAGCCTAAATGTAGTGGTACCTTTCAGATTTCCTTAACACTAGTAGCTTAACTACTTAATTTGAGATGTGAGAAATGTATGTTGTGTTATTTATTATTATAACTTATTTTGATGGTTTTTTATAATTTATTTAAAACTTAAATTGCATGTGCTACATGCATTTAAAAGTGGTTTTATTTAATAACTGAATTGAGTGTTTTGTCTTTCACAAAATCACTTAATATTTTACCAATCAAAAGTATAATTTTTGGTATAATCAAAAGTATAATTTTTGGTTGACTATAAAATATTATAAAAAGTATTATGTAACTTTCAGATGAGATCAAACGTGAGCGTGACTTTTACCGTGCACGTAACCTCCCATGTCCTAAAGATGCTGCACTTGCAGCAGATAAGCCGGGTGGAGGTGATGAGCAAGAACAACCTGATAACACAGACTGTCATCGGAAAGATGAACAAGTAAATAGATCCTTTTATATATTTGAATTAATATTTACTTTAAAGGTAGCTCATTCAATATTTACCAGTAATGAGAATCTGCAACATTGTTGTGATATTAAAATTGGGTGCATCTTTTTTTGTTAGTATTTATACCTTTGTTTATTTTCAGGTTAATGTATGTTTGGAATGCATATCAACATCTCTGCGAACTCTAAAGAGGAGCTTCATTAGGTGCTCAGCACAGGCCACTATTACTCATTTGAAGAAATTTGTAGCAAAAAAAGTATTAAATGGCATTGAAAAATATAGAGAAGTAAGTACTATTTGTACATATTTGAAATGAATTTGAAACAAATTTGAAATGGATATATTTCTATTACACTACAACAAAACCTATAAATCTGTCTCTAAACTGTATATGAAACCTATAGTCTTGTGTATTGCCTTTTGAGAATGCAACATTTACATTTATCTACTTCATGATCTGTATTACAAATGAAACAATAAATTATCTAGTATGTTGAAATTTATACATTTTTTATAACTTCACTACACTTCATTTTATTGAATAATATCTTCATGGAAAACTAATCATAACAATATTTATTACAGATAGATATATTATGCAATGATGAATTACTAGGGAAGGATCACACACTAAAGTTTGTATATGTAACGAGATGGCGATTTCGAGACCCACCATTGAGGTTACAGTACCGCCCAAAGATAGATTTGTAAATTATATTAGTTTTATAACAAGTAAATTGTATGATGAAATATATTTCAATTGGCAACATCACTTGCATTCAATTTTTATTTCAATAAAAATTGATAATCTATTTAAGGTAAGAGGAGTTTTTTTTTAAAGAACAGCTTTATCGTATGTTGAAATGTGTAAATACAGACCTTGATTATCAAGTCTTCAATGATACTATGGTCAAAATCACTTGTATGTAAATGACTATTTTTTCTCTAATTTTACTCACCATATTTTTAGTTGTAATCAAAATTAATAAATAGTTATTTTGATCATAACATGATCTGTCATCACTTATAGTTATGAAATAAAATCTCAAAATAATAAACACTATGGAATAGCATAATATTTTTTTACTGAATATAGTAAAAAAAAATTCGTAGGTAGCTTTTTTACTGTAAGAGCTGCGTTTCAATATGGACTTTGTATCAATTATTTAAAAATATGTGTATTATAACTGACAAAAAATGACATAAGATTTTGAGCTTCATTAGAGTATTTATATAATTAAAATAACGAATTTACCGAAGATTTGTATTTAACTTATAAATAATAAGCAATGGTATAAATTCAGGGTGCTGAGTATGAATTGTGAGTCAATTCTCATCATCATATAATAAGACTTTATTTTTGATTTTGGAAAATCACCTTTAGCTAACCTATACAGTGTATAATATCGTAGTATATTATATAGGAAAAAAATAAGGTCAATGCATATATTTGCATATATTTTTAATTATTTAGCCTGCCAACATTGGAGATAAAAAATAAAAAACATGTCTATAAACATTGCTGATTAATAATTATGGCTTAGCTACTGTTCTCAAAAGAAGATTACTGTTCTGTCAATATAACTGAATTTTCCACTATCTACTATTAACATTAAAATAAAATGTTAATAAAAATAATATTATGAATTTTAATATGTAAATGTTAAATTAAAAGAATCTATAATTATGTGAATTGTGTGCGTGGTAAAGTTACTTTGAGCAACATTTCTAACAAATATTTATTTATTATATAGAGTAAAATACCTTAATAAAGATTCATCAAAATGCTTTCTTAGGGGATGCCTACGTCATAGTAGCTTTATGCTTGCAGTCTCAGCCCTATCGGTTTAAAATTGACAAAGTTTCATACAAACTTTCATCCCCTATTTTATCCTCTTGGGGGTAGAAATGATCAAAATCCTTTCTTAGGGGATGCCTACGTCATAGTAGCTTTATGCATGCAAAGTCTCAGCACGGTCGATTTAAAATTGACAAAGTTTCATAGAAACTTTCATCCCGTATTTTATCCCCTTGGGGGTAGAATTGATCAAAATTCTTTCTTAGCGGATGCTTACCAAATAACATCTACCTGCATACCAAATTTCAGTCAGTCCGCTTTGAGTTTATATATATTTAGATAACGTAACATTAAAACGTATGGAAAAAAATCCTCTAACAACAATTTTTTGTATCATCCTTAAATAATTTATGATAAATAACTACCATGAACTATGAAAAACATCCTTATCAATGTTGTATTCGGCACCCTGACTGCAAATCGTCTTACCGCCATTGAAACAATTGAATTACATATACTATTTATTTGAATTAAATTAAATTGTGAGTTCATATTCACAAAAACAATCACTCATTAGATTTTTTTGTAGTATAAGCTTTATTAAGTATAATTTATTCATGCAATGTTTATTATATATACTATATCTAATGAACATTGCATTTAGATATACTATATTATTTAAAAACTTGGAAGAATGGGGATGATGATTAATTTTTGTTTGTCTATCCATCAGATAGACTATTGAAAAATAATGAACACTTATTTTTTATTCTTTGCATAATCAATAAATTACAGCCATACATTAGTTGAAAAGTCGCATAACGTCACTCCTTTGTACAATAGAACTGTGTAGACAAGTTTTTTTATATACCTATGTATTTTTATTTTATAGATACACATGAAATATATATCTATAAAAATATTTAAAACAATATTCATATAATAAGTTAAAATCTAAAAATAAATTTAATTTACAAAATTTCTCACGAAAATGTCATTATGACGTCACGGCACTCTGAAAAGAATGTCATTGTATATACTTGCATAAGGTTGAATACTCCAAGTTATGATACGAGTAAGTGGGGTCGACACGCGCTGTTTGCGGTCACAACGAGGATAAAATATTTGTTTTTTCATAATTAGTAAAAGCAATATCAAAAACATAAAAGTGCGATTATAGGTAATAGTATATTAAACACTAATAGAAAAAAATAAATAATAGGTATTTATTTTCTTTTAATGTCTACACCCGTATTTCTACATAGTTGTGACGTAGCGAGCCCACACTCCTTAACTTTTATGCTTATTATCTAAGATATTTTTTATTAAATTGAAGCAAAATAAATACGTACGCAATATTTTCCTATTAGCTGACTGACGGATTAAATAGAATTTCTTTTTTTTTACCCAGGCATCATCCCTATTGTCAGGAGTTTCTTCAATATTACAATTCGTTTTGATTTTATTTATAGTACATTATAATACAGTAGATACAACTGATATAACTGCACAGATGCCTAAATTTTGAACTGTGGCAAACGCTGACCAATCACAATGATTCAAGTAATACGCAGTCGAGCGATCTACCAATATCCACAAATCTGACCCGTGAGTGTGACTGAGACGGACACCTAATGCATTGTATTTGATACCTTATTTATATATAACAAGGCTTACTTTAAATTTTAATCATTCATATCTTCATCGTCGGTATTGGTAGTTCTGCTCTGCGCCAAACGACGCCATATTAGTTGGAATCTATTGTACCTATGAATTAATTTATATTTATGTTTAGTTCTTTGGTAGGTAAATATATAGGTTGTTGCATTAATTTTTTGTTGATATTGTTTATGGCAAAGGGTTGTGTTACCGTTTATCTACGTTTCATCATAATAATTCGTGATTTTTTTTTGTTTCCTTATGCTTTATGTGAATTAGATTAGCTATTACTCTTTTTATTAGAAAATTATTTTAGTTAAATAATATCTTTGTGTAAGTAAAATTTATATTTAATTAGATAAAGATTTTTATTAAATATTATTTCCACAAATCTTATTTTATTTTCCGTAATAAGTAATCATTAAGATATGTTATAACAATTGGTCATTCAAATTGATCGATTAATTTAAAACGAAAATACGAAATGTTTGGAAAAATTGAGAATTAGAAGACGTTCTTTTTGTGTCTTAATTTATATTACGCATAATAAATATATTTTTCGATTAATTTTTGTAAATATTTATTTGCCCAAATAAGCTTTTTACTTGCTTGTTGTTTTATTTCACAGAAAACAAAAGGATATATAAATATAATAAAAATGTAATGAAATATACTTAATTTTTTATTTTATGACGTCTCTATAAATACTACGTATCATAGATAACATTTTTAAATAAACAATTTTTGTGGGAACAAATTTCAGTAAACCGAACTCGTGCTGATAACTGATATGAAACAATATTAATGGCAAAGAGTACTTTTATATATAGGTGTGATTAATGGTAATGTAACAACGGTCTATCCTGAGGCGTGCAGACGCCTTCGCGCGTCTCTCCGACTTCCAAGGGTATATGGAAAGTAACACTATTGACAGTTGTGCACCTTTGCTAAACTAGAAAACCGAAATTTGAATTGGATTTTTGCCAACATCCTCTTAAAGTTATTATCGAAATGTGTACCTACCAATAAAAGTATTTTAAATTTCTATTATTTATTGAGTTTTCTTACTTTCACCCCACCATAAGTTAATCTTTTGTCCCATGACAGAGCCATACATCTTCGCATTATCGTTAGGATATTCGTGATTCATTGACCTCTGTTGCGATCAGTCTCAAACAACAAATCGTACTACAGTTTAATAGGCCCTTTATATGACCCTTATAATCACAAATTGAATATCCTAATGTTATCTTTTATTTTTTTTGTAGTAATAAGGAAGTATTAAAAAAAACGAAAGCACTAAAAAGCACCTTCACTAGATGGCGACTCTAGCAAAAGTTAAAATGAATGGACCATAGGCAGTCCTTTCCGTTCCTATTAATGCACATATTAAAAAACTGAAATTTGCAAAGGTTGAAACTTAGATATCAATATAAATACGAAAAAGTACAAATAAAATATGAGTTGTTTATTGAGTTTTGAAAACTAATTTACTTTGAAATATGAAAGAAAACTGGAAGGGTTGTCATGGAGAAATCAAGAACGTACCGTAGCGGCATCTAGTTTGATTTCGGAACAATCGATTAGTCAGACAAAGGGTATGTTCCGATATACACTGCGACCTGTGACTGTGACCACTGAACAGTATGACGTCAATTTAGTATACTGGAAGCCCGTTCCTTTATAGCTAGTTATACTGATGAATTTTTAAAACGGAACGCAGTCCAGTATACTGTCAATCCTATTTTTTGGCGCCATTTTCAAATTTGTTAATGCAAGGTGAATATAAATATAAAGATTCCCTCTTTTCAAAAGAAAATTGGAAAATTGTATAAAAAAAATATTTATCAATTAAATCCATCTTATAAGTAAACGTAAGTATTTTTTTTTTTTTTTGGTTATTTTGAAACTTATCATTTTCTGATTCTGTTTCGACTGATCACGTGATCAAAAGCATTGAGAGCACCTTACCTCGAAATCTCCAGTGCTCACAGTACAAATATGGCGGCAATTTATGACGTCATAAATTTCCCTAGGGTACTGTAGCAGTGTACTGGCAGTCCATAACGGAACGGATTTTTCAGCAGTAAGACCACTGCGCAGTGCTCGCAGTGTATATCGGAACATACCCAACGTAAATAGTACACTCATAGAAGTGTACACACACTATCTATTATATGGTCCGTGCACAGACATATAAGACGATGTGGGTCCGTGCAAGGCTTTCATGGTCTGTGACAGGCCGCGCTGTGCATGTAGTGAATATAGATATATGTATATCGGTTTTATGGAACAAAATCAGTTGCGTGACAAAGATACTCTATGGTTGCGTGCTTGATGATTGACATTTTTAATAGAGGTGGTTAGTTTAGCGCTTAGCGAAATAACACGCTTATCGTATTTAACCCTTAACGCTGTTATAGTATGTACGCGTTAAAGCGTTAAAAATTTAGCCTGTTAATGCGCAACGATCATTGGCGCCCGAGGTCAAACGGGTATTCGCGTGGGCGTGTGGTTTTATTCTTGCTGTACATTAATAACATCGCGAGCCAAGCCCATCTTAGATCAACGTGAAGGTGCGAATGTTTTTTATTTTAACATAAATTTTTATTTTACTCACATAATCGCAGTTAAATCTAAAAAAAATTCAATATCAACTTATTAGCATAGATTAGGTAGTTGGTATTTTAAATTGTTTAGATTAAATTGTGATAATGTGAAGAAAATAAAAACAGACGTTCGATAAAGAATTTAAAATTTTTAATTGTAGAAATATATAAATTTAAATATATTTTTTGTCATTATTAATTATTATAAGTACGTGTTTTTTATAATAAAGATGATTATGTTAATAAATATAAGGACAACTTTTAGTAAAGGGAAAATTATATAGAATAAAATAGTATTAAATTAATGTTTTCTATAGCACGCGCTCACTTCAAAGATCGACATGTACTAAATAACATGCTACGAAATATAGTGTATTGCTTGATTTAATGTGTTTGTCTCTCTATTTTTAATTGGTCTGTATACACACAGCCTCGTAGAGAAAACTATATAATCTGTGTCGTAGAGTATTATTGTTCTGTTCACACAGGTACACATACATACACTTGCGTTTGGTTTGTTTGTAAATGTCAGCAGTCTCTCCATACCAAATGGAAAAATTTATAAAGGGCCTGTCAAACGAAATTCGCCTCACCATGAACTATGGGTAAAAGCAAAACATGTATTAAAAACTGTTAAATTTATAAAAAAGGTAAAAGTTGGTAATGAAATCCGATTGGTAGAGACTTTAGTGCCATCTGTGATAAATTTTATAAAAACCATAGAGGGTATGCAAACTCTGTGGCAAATGTTGTCTAGCAAATATGGACTCGATGCATTGTTGACCAGGAATTTTAATCAGGATCCTTTAGAAAATTTCTTCGGTAGCATAAGGAGTTACGGGGCAAATAATATTGCACCCAACACAGTGGCATTTGAGGGTGCATTCAAGTCATTGTTATTAAAAATGCGACCCACTCGAGAGGAGCAAATTATGAAGAAGACACTAATGAGTGTTTTCAATCATAAAAATTTTTCTTAACAGAAAAAACAGATAATCCTTATGCTCCTGAAGAAATTGATACTATACACTATAGTAATGAAATAAACTTTAGCCAGCCATATGAACATGATGCTGGTTAGAGCAACTACGTTTGTGGATGGGTCCTAAAAAGTGTTTAAAAAAAGTAGTGAAAGGTTGTGATGATTGCAAACGGTCTTTACTAGACACAGAAAATTAAAATAATGCCTTTATCAAAGAATATACAGGAAAGAAATGGCTTTGTTATCCCAATGAGCAAGTAGAAATATATTTTCAAGATGTACGTAATAAAACCTTTTTCTTTCTAAAAAAAACGTACCTAAATTTACTTTGAAAAAGTCCATAGTTTCTATTATAGACGTCTTAATTAAGAGTCCTTTTAAATGCCCTATACACAAAATTGACTTAAAAACACATTTTTTAAATTACTCTGTCAATGTAATAAATAACAGATGGTGTCGGTCCATCAATCGGATTTTATCTGGCAAGTTAAAATACACAGGCAATGATGATGATTGTAAAAAAATAGCTCAAGAATATTATAATAAACATAAAAATTATAAAAATAGAAAATAAAGAATTAAAAAGACAACTTATTCTTTTATTCCACACATTTTTACGACCTTTTTTCTCTAAAGAATAGAATCTGACTTATCATTGAAACAAGAAAATTAGAATTAAATCGCTTACAATAAGATCTTGAGAAGAAGATCCTGTTGTAAGCGATTTTATCCTAATTTTCTGAAAATAATTTAAGACCTGCCCGGATGCTCAGCAGGTGGCGTTTTTAATTCTTGTTCAGAAATCTAGATGGCACTTGCGTTTCATATTCAGTCTACATTCAAATCCCTAGAGAGGGCACTCTTTTTCCGCTATATTATACTACTCTTTGGTGTGTGTGTACGAAAAAAATGAAAATGGACGGCTGAGTTTTCTTTTGGCACGTGAAACGGTTAATTTTTATTTATTTATATTATATTATTATCAACATTCACCGTCAAGCTGGGTGCCAAAACGGTTGAAAGGTTTTTGAGTTTAGCGGATGATAATTTTGTGGACGATATAAACGATGACTTAAAATGTTTTTTAGCCGAACAGAAAGTTGACAGGTATGTAAACAATTTTTATTTATATTTTTAATATTCATAATAAGCTGAAAAATGGTAGCTTCTCGTCTTAATTATTATTTATTGGTTTACACCCGTATGTCATTATGATAGGATACATAATGATTGCCATTTTTCGATATAATATTTCAAGGTTATCATGAGTCAATTTGGTCGGCGTAGGACGTTAATTGAAGCGAGATTGCGTTGAACACACATAAAATTAATCAAAACTAACATTGGGTTTACCACAAAATTATAAGATAATAGTTTAATATTAATGAATATGCAAGTAATTATAATGCTAAACTAGAATATCAAATACATAATCTATCTTTGTGGTTATGGGTATATTATCCTCTAGGTACCGATATATTTATAAGTAGAGTTATACGAATGTGGGTGAAAAGCCATCTCATATTAATCAATTAATAATCGTAGAATTATTTTTTGTAATAGGACTTTTACTAGAATCTAGCTGTAGGCAGTATTTTTTTTTTCAAATGTTTTCAAGAATCTTAACTATCACTTGAACTAAAAAGAACTTGAGTATCAAATGCAAAAAAATACCAATCAGTAATTTTCAGTGATTTATACATTCAAAGAAATGTAACTGTTCAGCTCTTTTACATTAACACAGTAATTATACTTATAAACAAGTACTATAATTTATTAACACTACAATAAATTAATCAATGATGAATATATATATTTTTCATAGGAATGTTATTAAAAAAAATTATGTTAGTATTGATTAGATTTTTAATGAATATTGTATTTGTGGAAATATTATATGGGAACAAGTATAAATTGTATATTCATATTTCTACAATTGTAACACCAATCATTAAAAAGAAGAAGAAAAGGTCTTTTGGAAATCAAATTTGTTACCTGTATTTTAGTCCAGTTATGTATTTCTAGCTTAATTAAAATAAAAATAACTAGCAGTAATTTTTATATAATTCTATGGTTAAAGTTTGAATGTTATGAAAAATAATACAATTAATTTGTTTATAGTGTGTTGGTGTTCCCACCAGTAAGCAACTACCGGCGATTTCTTATTCATCGTTGTGTTGAACAGTTAGGTCGACCTGAGTTGGTCACCTTTTCTATAGGGGTTAATGATGAGAGGCGGACTGTGGTCTGCTATCGCCATAATCTGTTAAGGTAAGTAATAAAAAAAACTTAATTCATTAGATAATAAAAAAAACTTAATTCATTAGATAATAAAAATAACTTTCAACATATTGACATATTGTTTTCTATAACTCCCATATCTTTTTCCACAAACAAATATGTAATTTCAGTGATGAAGCTTGTGCACGTCCAACCATGGGTTTGACACAGACTGAAAGAGAGGATGTCACAATATCAAGTGCTGGTAAGTTAATTTTTCTGTTTAGTTGTGATGTTTGCTATCTTGTCCCATGAGGTTCCTGGTTTTTACAAATAACCTTGTGTAATGGTGCCAGTTCTGTTGTTTTACCCTGTATAAATGAAACTTTAAAAATCAAAATTTTATTTGGTTATGTTTGAAAGTTATTCCATACTTATATGTACCTAAATAACAACATAAATATCATATTAATGGTTAATGAATAGGGATTGAACGCAATTTTTTTTGTTTGTCCATCAGGAGATTGTTGAAAAATATTAAACACATTATAATTTTTTTTTGCATATACATAAAATTACGGCCGTACATGGAGTTAAAATGTCACATAATGTCATGCTTTTGTACATTTTCTACAAAACTGACATAGCTCTTCAATTTAAATGTCTGATATCTAAGCCATTTCTTGTTAAATAGAAGTAAAAAAATATGATCTAATATTTTTTTATTGTCTGACAGATGACTAAATGGAATTTCTTCTTTTTTTACCCTGTCATCATCCCTATTAAAATAATCTTATTTTGCAACCTGGATTATTCAGGAAAATAATTAGCTGTATAATATTATCAATAACATCTTATTTTGCAACCTGGATTATTCAGGAAAATAATTAGCTGTATAATATTATCAATAACATATATCAAAGCAAAAGTTAATTACTTTTGTTTTAAACTGTATAATAAAATTTAAATTATTATTATTGACTGAATAAAGGTTAAAACCCTTATAAACCGTCTATTATCAATATTTTTATCTGAATATGTATGGAGAGGTTAATCTTCGGAATAATGACACCTATTTGAATTAATCATTTGCTATTTGAAAGGTATCTTACAGGTAGTTACTGATTTTTGTGTGTCGCACTTTCGCAACCCTGACTATAATAAGAATGCATGACAATATAGCATTCGAAAATTTCTAAACAATACACCATTATTATGATACACGAAATACAGTATACAAAATAACGCGATATGTCAGTCTTCTAACTAGATTGTTAAGGTCGTGATTGCGCAATGATAACTAGATTTTATTAACCAAAAGCAGAATCACAAAAAAATATAAATACACAATAAATAAACGTTGCACACGTACGTGTGAAGACGCAGTGAAGAACCACCCATTTAGAAAGGATCTGGAAAATTAATTTGACCACTCAATGATAGTGACATCGTGAAAATTATTCGTCATTGACTTCCTTGAAGAATAATGTTAGATATACATTACTCAGATGCCAGAGATACGAACGATCTTTATAGGATTATCATCACTATCAGGAAATTTTTGCCTTCTAATACCATACGATGTATTCTAATCAATGTTTTAAGTTTATACATACTTTTACAATGCAATGACGATTTATGTACACTCAAACTATCGATGTTGATTGAATATTCGTTTTCTATTATTTTATTTAACATTCAAAAATTATAATAGCTACTGCCAATTGCGTATACCCCACAAAGTAGAAGGAGTCTGTCTTTATTTGAATTTGTAATCCCAGTAAAAACGCTGAGAGTAAAAATTACTGGGGAAACTAACGCACCCTTGTTCTGTTTGACTTACTAACTACTTTATGATAGACATGGAATTTTTAAGCATTTTTCATTGAGTTTTTTTTTCGTAGATAGATAGATAAAATATTCCTAATTGTACAGAATGGTGAATGCAAAATTAATCAAAATATAATAATTAGACGAGTAATTGTTACTTAATCTCAAACGCGCATAAATATCTAGCAAGTGCACCACGTAATATATCATAAATTCTTTAGGTTTAATTCCATACCTACTGGAGTAAATCTCTTCGATATAGCAAAAGCCTTCGACTTAGCCTTTTTGACCAGAGAAAATGCATTATGCACTATCCCTAAGATTTTCATTGTTTGTTATAATACGTTGGAAATAAAAATCTAAATAATCAGACCATCTGTTATTCAACATTAACACAACTTTTTTGTGAATTAGCTAGCAATAGATATATCCTTTTATTGCACAGTGTTAATTTCAAACTCATTCTCTTGCATTCCCTCCACATATTCAAGCTGCTCCAATCGATTGTTACCTCAAGCTTCTGAATTCTCCTACCGCTTGTAATTAATGTGATAGATTTATATTTAAGTATGTAGTATTATATCATACTTACTTGTTTATCTATAAAGCTATATATGATATGTAATATATTTGTTATATGATTTGCTACGCTCAAAGATCGAAACCATTGAGCGGAAAAATACCTCATAACGCGTTGTGGCAATCACAAAGACCACATAGCGAAATTCGTGTCGTGGCTGATGTTCGACTTCCACGAATTGTGGCAATAAAGAAACGCTATACCAACAATTTTAGGGATACATCTATTAAAAGGAAAAGTACTTTCGTGTCAAATGGTCACCACTATCAACAAGACTTAGGGCGCTTGTGCACTACACTGAATTTTCATGGTCCGATTTTTTCAGGTCCGATATGTCAGGCCATATGTAGGTAATGCGCGCTTGTGCACTGTCAGGAATTTTACCGTCCGGAATTTTACTTTTCTCTATTCCGGACCGGTTTTTTCAGGTCCGTGATGGCGGTAATGAAAAACTTGTTTACGCTTGTGCACTGCTGTGTCCGAGATCCGGAAAATTCATAAAGAATAGGCTTGGGAAAAAATAATCGATTTGAATCGATATTTATTTCGGCAATATTGTTAATTTCCAATAAACTTATAATGGATATTTATTGTTGATTATAAAATGCTATATTTTATATGATGATTTAATATAGTTGGTATATATCACTGCATAAGCTTTGGCAAACTCGGTATTGTTCTAATTTGATCAGCGTATGTTTCTAGTATCGATACTTAGCTAGATTTTAGAATCGTATTAAAAGTATCGATAGCTTTAGGTAAGATAAATAAGTGTTGTAACGCTTAGACGCCTAAACAACTGAACCCATCTAAATGGAAATTAATATAGTAAATAGACTTAACTTTAAGAAAGGACATAGCCTACATTTTATCGCGAAAAATAGGGGATGAAAGTTTGCCTGGGAATTTGTCATAATCAAATTTTTTTTAGACAATTGATAAGTATAGATAAATATTTGACAACAGAAGTAATAATAAAGAATAAACAGAAGATTAACAAAAGTAATTAAGTGACACTCAATGTCTTTTTCGCATTTAATAAAATTTTAAATGTATGTTTGTGCCATTAATAAATAAAAAAAAAAAGAAGTATTCTAAAGGAATAATATTTTTGCTCAAAGAAACTACACCACGCGTATAAAATTATGCCTATATATAATACAGTCAACTGATCTCGTAAAGTTCATTTAGCATAATAATTCTCCGCTAACACGGCACTAATTTCGATTTGTTTACGAAATGGCGCCACCGATTGGTCTATCTCTGTAATCGCTAAAAGTTGTTTTTACAAAACTTCGAAAAAAAATAGCACGTTTAAAAATTTAAACATCATGCCCGGACCGGAAAAAATCGGACCGCCGGACCTGAAAATTCAGTGTAGTGCATAAGCGCCCTTACGGCACGATATGGTAAGTTTGGTTACTTTTCTGTACAACACGAGATCTGTAAATAACGTAAGTTCTAACACCAGTTCTCCACTATTTATTTATTATAATAATGTTTCTCTCTAGTTACAAGTTTGATAGATCACTGAAGCCTGAATTAACCCTTTATCGCCTTTGGAAATCGTCATCAAACTCGTTATTCATATTTTAAAGCTGTATCGGTATTGGTAAGTTCAAAATTACTATGATTCGATATCGATTTGACTTATACAGTTATCTACGTATTCGTCTATTGGCTTCCCGTAAGGTAATTAATATCCTTAAAAACTAAATAAAAAATATTATATAAATATTATTATTTCAATGTTAGGAACGTTAGGAATACAGCTGCAGTTCCATTCATTCTTTCTTCAGCCGCCATCTATTAGTACCATGTGGAATATTCTAATACCACTTAGAACTAATAGATGCCGCTGTGTAGTATCGTACATACCGCTATGGTTTGCTTTTTTTAAAAAGTCTTATAATGCATTCGAACCCTTCAGTACCGCGACATAGGCTATTAAAAACGTTTGTTTGTTTGTAAATGCACAATAGTGCATATAGTTTTTTGATGAAGATCTCAAAGCTCTCCGGGCTTTTTGATGGTCTCGTGAAACTATAAATAAAATAATACATAAATTGAAGAAAGGATTCGCGATACAAACAAACGAACTGACTGAGTCAAATGGACTATTTTTTGGTTTAGTTGTGATATGACAGTATATTATATTCTGAGTCAAGTTGTTTGTTAACATGTAGGTAGTAAAATAAAGAATAATAGATAATAAAACACATGGGTTGCCTAGCCAAAGTGGGGGACCTACACGTGTAAACAATAGACAGACATTGTAAAAATATATTAGCTTCTCTTTTCAACTGTTTCCTTTTATGAATGAAAATCAAAAGAAGTCAGAAGAATTAGAAAAGTAAAACCAAGGTTGCCTTGGTTTTACTTCGCTCATGTCTAGGGAATCTCCAGAGAAATATTTAAAGAAATAAATATTGTGGCTGTTGTCTCTCAATACATATATGAAAATCAGGCCCCTATGGATGGAATCAAATTAAATTGGATACGGAGAATTGGCCATGATTATATGACCCACCTGTGCGGATTGGTGGGTATTAGAAATTAGACGTACTAGTCTAAACGCGTACTGAGTCTTGCCAGTATGCAGTGTATGAGACCAACTCGCACTTGACCAGTCTTTTATTTTATTAAGATGAAATATAAATACATACCGGGCTAACAATAATTACTTTAATTTCGAAAAACCAACTGAACCCGAGCTTTTTCGCTATCGTAAAATAATTAGTTTGATAAAATTGACGTTTGGGCGTCCTTCTCAATGCCGCAGCTGAGCAGTAAATGAACGGCCACAGATTCCAATGACGTAACACAAATGATGCAAGCGGGCGCAATGGGTCAACTAAGTAGAGTGGGCGCTATAATGTAGCACACCGAAAGTGAAAGTGGCACGCGGTGCTGGGAAATGTTTATCAAATAACGCTCCCTATGAACCCCTTTTTGTTAATAATATATATTGCTTATTTTTTTTTTATTACGTAGAGAAAAAAAATATTAATAATTCATCGAATTTAAGAGAGCGTGTACTGAAAAAATTACTTGACATATTTTTTTTTACAAAGAAATAACTACCAATATGATTAAAAACGAGAAAATTCAACCATTGAAAGGGCCCAGTTAAGAACTTACAAAATTTGCTCTTTAGGAAAAAGAAATTAAAATTAAATTGTTTTTAAAATACTCTTTTAAAGCTTTACCCCGTATTTCTGGACCTGAAAAGCATTAGGTCGGATGTGCAGAACCAGCTAAAATCACTTATCGCCATAACGTTGCTACACTCTTTTTTCTCTTTCCGGCAAATTAACTCTTGTATGTTTGTGCCTTTTTACTCATGAGCAACAGTCATGCATAAAGTCGGATCAGACGACTTTTTCAAATATTTTGATTGCATTTAGCTATTTCTGTTTTTATACAGTTATGCCTAAGATTCCCGACATCCGACCTAATGCTTTTCAGGTCCAGATTTACTCTCCACTTTACTTAATAAACATCATAGACATCTGCATCTCTGACATCAAAATTCCGGACTAAAAACGCTTAAACCAAATTTGTGCTACTCTCACAGAAACTGCACTAGGTCCATAAACATCACAAATTTATTTCCGCGGCATGCGTTGCATTCTTACCATTTTTAGTATTAAAATTTTAAAATGTATCAAATTTCTTCGTTAGATTCATTCATTTTGACAGTTAGAAATAAAATTAAAATCACGCATTTTCCTAATTTCAATTCGAGGTCTTTTTTCATGATACTTTTTCATGATACCGAAACCAGCCAGATACAAATGGTATAGCGAGAAAAAAATATTACAAGTTTAAGCATACTATATGCGAAAAGACATTTTTCCCAACCTAATAATTAAAAAGAAAAAGAAAAACGAAGTTCATTAGAAAATCCCGGAAAATTAAGTGTTTATGATTTGTTAAAAGCAGGATGTTATCAAATACGTTGCAGTCTGTTATGTGTTTTATAAACATAAACAATAAAGCGTTTCAAAGATAAAAATACATAGGTTGGCGTGTACGATACCATATCCCTTGTAAGTTTTTTGTGTGCGTTCCTACACTGCCTTCCTGATACGCAACCGAGAACTAATGGCGCTTTCTAACCCTTCTACGTCCAAATAAATATGCGAACTGAAAGCTACAGAAGATGTCGGTTCCCGTAAACACTTTTAATTGGCTAATTAGAGTAACTATTCTAGTTGAAGCCAATGTTTATGTGAAACCGCTTTAAATATTGAAACTCTTATATCTTATCTATAAAAAATGACACAAGTTCAAATGAATGTTGTATAAGATAATAAAAATATGAAATAAACCAATACAGTTGCCACTAAGATTAATATGTATGCTACCGTGCTGTTTAAACATATTTTTACAGTAAATTGAGATTTTTATTATATGAAAATCAAATTTTACTAAAGAATATTAACTTTAACTAATTTAAAATAACAAAAACGAAATAATAAATAGAAAATAGAAAATGTATTATCTGGCAGAGTAAAAAAAAAACTTCTTCTATTTCTTTTTAAATTTATGGCCCAATTGCTTTTACACGATTCCGCCAATATCTCTTTGGTGGTCTTTACACGTAAAGAGACGACAAAATTATATATTTTTTAATTTTATACATGTCTATATTTTTAAAATCTATTTGCTAACATAAGAGTAAGGAACTCTTATGTAAACTTTTGGTTAAAGAGAATATAAACACTTTTGTGCTTGTGTCAAAACTTAGAAGGAGCATTAATATTTTTTAAAGTTTGAATTAAAAATAATCTCTAATACGTTGGTTTCATTGTGACAAATTTAAATATTAATATATTGTATAGAGGGCAGACATAAATCTCGCTCTAGGTTTACGTTACTCACTTATTATTGGAGTGAGATCATCAATGACACTTACTCTCAACCACAGAAAGACGTGTTCTGTGGGTAACTCCTTGGTAAATGTTTTTATGAAGTCCTTTTCAGGCATTTCGAAGGTGTCCCTATTTAATCGATTTCAAAATATTTGATATCAATATTTAGTAGTTTCTTGAATTATTGAAATCCTTATTTCTTCTTTGCGGCTCACTTATACCCAATGGAATAATAGATATCCAATAGAATAAAAGCTTAATTAAGCTCATATTGTTTGTTTCTATGTTTTACTCTGTCAACAGACCATTGATTAATAATGGTCACTAGAACTCGCATTATGAAAGTAATTAAAAAAAGTTATTTACTTGAACACACGGCAAAAAATTCTTTATTGGACGTGCCTTCCCATTTTTCGACCACTGGTCGAAAATTGAATGTTTTTATGAAGGGTAGTCCCTTTATTTGACCACCTCATTTTAATAGTTTGATAATTAAATTTACGATAGGTTTAATTTGCCCCCATAATAGAGGTCATAATCTGGCTGCAAAACCAATAAATAAACCAAAATGAGCTAAGAATAATTAGAAACTCACTTTCAAGGTATTGGCACCTTACTGATTTTTTGCTAATATATGACGCCTGTGATTGCTGTTCGCTGCAACCCTCAGATTTATAAGTTGATTTTGGCTTAAAGCTTCGTTTAATCGTATTAATGTGTGTATATGTATATCCAGGGTGGCATGTATTTAAGTTTTGGAAACTTGAGTATACCAACATTACTGTTACTGTGTTTGATCTTTTTGCAAAGGAGGACCGTTAAATGATCGAAAATAGGAGGTGGATGGGAAACAGATGCATCGACACTACTTCAGCGTAAAATAATTCAAAATCGAAATTTTGATCGACAGTGTACCTTCGTTTAAATACACACATAGGTCCCACTGCCTTCTGACTTATTTATATCATAAGTTCTATTTGATGTTAACATTGCACTATCGTCTAAGTTATAATATATTATATTATATGCAAGCAAAATGCAGTACAGTCAATAAACGGGAGTGAATAAAATTAATCTTGCAACAATAAATTTCCACCTTAACAAACTGACACGACAAGTTAAATAATAGCTTATTTATATAAAATCAAAATCTACATTAATGTCTTGTCTTGATAACGGAATTGTAATTTAGGTGTACCTTAATGTCAATTACGAAGTAGTATCTTTGCTTTATTAGGCGCTATAATTTATTGTATGTACTTCAATATTTTCAGTTTGAATGGTGAAACATTTGTCCAAATTCCGATATACTATATGCCTTTTATTTATTTGTTAAGTATCAATATATATTATAGTGGCCTATTTATTTGTATGCATTACCTTATTCAAAATGAAACAATGTTTCTACTGAGAAGTGCGGTCACAAGTTAGTATAGACGCAAGATCGTAATTGGCACTGCCACAAGGCATGGGAACGAGACGTTCACTGCACTGATGTAATATACTAAAATGCTAACACAATCTTGATGTTCATGGAGAGTTTGAGAGGTTTTAGTAGAAATATTTGGATTTGTTTCAGTTCAATTTTGATAACCTTCACATAGAATATTGTAATATCAAAGTAAATTGTCAAAAAACTAGTATAGAAATGAAAACAACAGTACCTAGTCATTCCTTAAACAGAAATAAAAAAAACTGAAGGAAGTTAATGTCAGACTTTATTACCAAAACCCTATTTTATTGATACAATTCAAAGTCACTGAAAACTAAAATGTTATTGAAAATTGTAACATAATCATTATTATCGTTCCCTAATGGAATACATCGAAATTGCAGTGGAATGAAAACCATCTTGTAGTATATATAATTAAGATTTGAAATGTTTATAATTATGTTATCTGAATTACTGGTCTTGTACACGAATACTTTTTATAAAGATCGCACGCGCTAAGGTAATCTTAAATCTTAAAAAATATTTTACGTTTGTATAAAACGTGAAATGTATATTGCTTAGTTTTAAATCCAATAGCATCTATATGTAAATGAATTAATCCAAACGTATCACAGTTTAGGCGTGAGTTTGTTATGGTGAGTTTATGTAATACTGTTTCGCAGACCCGGCGGTGGGAGGTTGCAAGCCGGCGCAGGCGCAGCGCCGCGTGCAGCCTCAGGAAAAGATCAGGTACCAAAACATTTCCTACTTCATTTGTTCATTGCGCGCGGACACGCGTTGACGCGAGTTGCTATCAGTAGCGTAACTTGTGTTATCTATCTATCATTTACGTGTACGTGATTTCAGTGATTGTGTGGAATTTATATTTGTCCATTGGTGTTTAATCGTATTAGTTCTTGTGACTGTATGTCATCCACGGGGTCTGATATTGATACTGAGTAAGTCTTTAATAAGTTCAATCTTTCTTTTGATACTTGCTTAGTTAAAAATAAAATATTAATTACCTATTTAAGAAATGCCTGTTCGGATACTAAATTAGTCACAGTTTACTCGGTTCTGTTGTAATCAAGGTTGTACACGTAGGTGAATGTTCGCAATTTATTGTCACAAAGATCGCAAAATAAGCGATTCAGTAGCTATAAGTTGTTTGATCATTCTTACGTTGCGTTGTTTGCTAATTTGTTGTAGATGTCAGTGATGTCATCACGTTAATTGCCTTCTTTTAATTATCAAATTTGTGACATTAATTTAATTATGTTTATGTTGTCCTGTCTTTATCATTTCAATTAACGATATTATATTCTCTTTTTCTATTTAAAACATGGGTACTTTTTGGATTAATTTATTACCCGACTATTACGAAGCGAAAAGGAGGGTTATGATTTTGGCCGGAATTTATATTTCTAAGAATGTTCATGTTCCCTTATAAATTCGAAACTACTCATCGTAATTGGACAAATGAGGTATCATTAGAAGCGTTTTAGTTGGTCGCGTGCTATATGTATATAGGCTCTGTGATGTTATATTAAATTGGCAACAGCGCCCTCTAGAGAGCATAAAATAATAATTAAAATATATTTATATTATGCAATCATACCGTGCTGAGTATCAAATGAAAGAGCTTAATAAGCATATTTCAAATAAATATATATTTATAGCATTTGCTTGCGATTTTGATTAAACACCCGAAATTAAATAAATAAAAAAGTTCAATAACTAAAACAACAGCTAAATTACGCTCCAATAAGTTTGTTTTAAGAAATTTAATTTATTGCGATAGCTATATTATAATAACGACGACAAAGGTCAGCGTAGTTGTATGCGACTTATCATAACAAAACAAACTGTTGTGGCATATACGACTAAGCTGTCCTTTGGTCATTTTTCTTTTATCGAAATCTTCGTTACAGTTATAGTTACTAAGAATTCTTTGTTAACGTTATTCTACTTACCGTGTTCACTTATCTATTTCTATATTATTTTAAATATATTTTCTATTACTTATAAATTTTAGAAAAAAATACATTAATATAAGTAGATTACCGATTGTTTTTAGATATTCTGTTATAATAAATAATATACTGTTGCTATTACTTCGTACGTATCATATCAATCTACACGGCGGTAGACCTTGTACGAATAAAAATATGCAGAAAACCTCTGCAAACTTTGTTTTACTACAGATTCGTTGTTTCCAAGTACAAATGAATTAAATATAGTATTTTTATTCTTTTCTAAAGTATCGATTTTATAATTGATATAAATATTGTTTATAATTTTTTACATTATTCAAATTTTTGTCCTTGCAGTTGTAATATATGTAAACGTTAATGAGTCTGAGCAGGTTTTGTATTTTCTTCAGTTGATTGGAACTGAAATGTACCGAGATAAGTTTAAAATAGATTATTCCTTTTAGTAATTTTGTTATAAAGATTGACTGATTTGATATGTGGATCGAAGTAGGGAATGGCAACCTTTTAAAACAGAGTAAGATATTAAAGATCCACTAATAATTTGCTAATGGTCGTCGTATTGTCGAAATATTTGACTATAGAGTTTTGAAAATGATTAATGTTATTATCATAGGTCGGAATTAGGTAGAGTTATTTATGTACTTGCATCGAAATGTTGATATTAATGTGGACCTTTCCGGGCCAATAATCTTACAACTAAATAATAATAACAACCTCAGAGATAGACAAATAAAACAAAGATAATTAACATATAATTTTTATTACTTTACATTAATTTATAATACAAATTATTGATAGTCTTAAGCAAATTCTCATACGCATATTTCGCCTTTTTTATAAATATGAGTGAATACTTTTGCTTCTAGCCTAGACTCATAAAAAAAATAAAATTAATCTCGGGATTTGAGGCATATCCACTTTATTCTTTCGCTGTATAAAATCAGTGTAAGTACATGAATAACTCTACATAATTCCGACCACTGGTTATTATCAAACATTAAACTTCTTTTTGATTGTTTGAGGTTCAGTAAACAAGTGTCTAAACTATATGTAATTTTTTTATTTTTTAAATTTGTATTTAACATAAAAAATAAAAGGAATATGTATTTTTTTCCATAGAAATTTTAGCTGTGCCAAATTATTTTATATCTATGTAAGCCATACAAATATTTCAAACACTAAACATATTTTAGCTAGAGTAATAAAAATAATATCATTAAAATTACGGAGCTCTCATATTAATATGAATTATATATGTTGCAGCCAAGTGGTATAATCAACCGACCAATTGGATGGCTACCCTTTTAACCGAATAACGCCATTTAATTAACGGAGAGACTTGGCATCACAATACCTGGGGGTCATATTCGACCAAAAACTCACGTGGACGCGCCATATAAACAACATAACCCAAAAGGCTAAAACAGCCCTATGTATATGCTGTCGATTAACCGGGGAAAATGGGGACTAAATCCCAAAATAGCCCTATGGATGTACACCGCCATTGCCGACGATGACATATGCCAGCGTTGTATGGTGGTAGAAAGCCACTCAAGCTACAGTAATTAACAAACTGAATAGCTTGCAAAGAACAGCACGCCTCACGGCAACCGGTGCCATGTCTACCACTCCAGGAGCCGCTCTTAATGCCCTGCTCAACTTACCGCCTCTGCATTTATTTATAATGAAAGAGGCGAAAGCTAGCATCTACAGAGTAGGTATTACTGGTCAAAAGAACTGGCATTCTCAAGCACTGATATCTCTATATCAAACAGTCCTCGAGAACACACTTCTAGCAATGATCACAGACGTCATGACTCCGCTTTGTAACTTTGAAAGAAATTACTTAGTGGAGATACCGAGCAGAGAAGAATGGTCAGAAGCACACGAATTCTGCAAAACAGGAAGCCTAGTCTGGTTTACAGATGGCTCCAAAATGGGTCATAACGTAGGATGAATCTTGGGATAAACGCTACTATTTTTCAGGCTGAAGTGTCCGCGATTTTAGAATGTGTGGAAGCTAATCGCCAACTAAACTACAGAAATAAGACCATTTATATATACTCTGATAGTCAAGCAGCACTCAATGCCATACAATCGAGCCTGATAAGTTCGAAACTGATAAAGCACTGCATTGACAGCTTGAACGAACTGGGGCAAAAGAATAAGATTTTTCTTAAATAGGAACCAGGACAGTTTGGCATCATTGGCAATGAAAACGCGGATGAAGTAGCAGGGGGTGGAACACAAATCAAATCGAAATTTATTTATTCAGTTTAGGCTTTTACAGAGCACTTATGAAAGTCGAAAACTACGCCATCGGTTCGCAAAACTACGGCGGGAGACCTTGTACTGAGAAGAACCGGCAAGAAACTCAGCAAGGGCTGTTTTTTTTCTCCCTGTTTTATTTCACACAGAGAAGTCTTATTGAAAAGTGACTTCATTAGAATATGAAGTCACTTTCCATTACAATATTAGAAAGTAAATACAATAAAGTTAAAATATCTAACACCATGCCTTTTTGTCATTTAGATATTCCTTAACGGTATAATACCCTTTACTACAAATACAGGGACTACAAATAGGATCAGAGCTCTTTTATGGTATCCCAAAAAACCATGTGATGATAATTTCAAAGGATGACCTGCATTAAGGGATTAATACACTAAATTCCTAAATAAAGATCATTCACAAAAACTAGCTGTAGTGCTCTTAAAGCTAAACAGGGCAAATATAAGTACAATTGTACGAACTTTATCTGGACACTGCAAACTAAACAGACACCTATTTAACATGAAACTAAGTGACATTTGCAAAATTGCAAACAGAAACATGAAACACCAAAAGATCTTCTGTGTGAATGTGGACCACTGCTCCAAAAACGAAGCATACATCGGGGACGACATATCATCAGCCCAGAAGATATAAAATCTCTAAAAGCCGGAAATGTTATAGACTTTTTGAAATCTACCGGGTTAAAAGAGTTACTCTAGCTCTGGTGGCGAGTCACAAAAGATCTTTAAGGTCGCAGTGACTACAGTTCCTCAGGTAACTGCATAACCCCCTATAATAACAAATAATAATAATATGTTGTGCTTCACGGTCTTCTTAAAATAACTATGTTGTAAGCTTATAATAGGTTCACCAAATATGTTCACTTGTTAATGATTTATTCGTAGTTATAATAAATTTGATATATAGAGATAGTTCTGGGGAAAGGCATAAGCTTACTTCAATATTACAAAACATACATTCAGACGAAGTAGCAGATAAAAGTTATAATATATTGAGATATTATTTATTTATTTAATCAGTTATAAAATCTAGTCCTACTAGTTATACAATTGCACTCATATGCGTTTGTCAGTATTGATGAAATCAATGATTTTAACCGCTATTGTGTCAAGAGCACTGGCTTTAAAGTCAATGCTGCGGTATATTTAGATACGCTTGGTACACTCACATCTTAAAATATGCATGTGTCCAAATGTGCTATTTCATGTTCCTTATTTCGGAATGACTATATGTTAAAGGTATGCTTATTTTTGTACATCTGACTAGTAATTTAAATCTATGGTGTCTCTGCTGAACATATTGTCCAGAGTAAAGGATATGCATAAAAAGATAAAGGGTTTTTAGTATTGAAATGAGCTGTTCTACCGGCCTGCTATTTATATCTTTTTATTTTTTCGTACCTCAAAAGATAAATCTTCGTCCGTTCGTCTTTCATAGGCACAGCATATTTACTGCGAAACTGCTGTTTATTTATTTATTTAGAGACAGCTTACAATGACAATAGATTTTTAGAGCAAAAGAGAGTTAACTATCCTAGGCACGTTTAATCGGGATTCGAACACACAACTTTTCCCTATATGTACGACTTTTCTGTCAATTAAATTACCAGAAACCTTGACGAAACTATTCAATTACCCAAGTGCTTGCTACAGACAACATTCTGATCTCAATCTGCATCTGGTCAGACTGGACCTTATCTGCATATCATTAAACAACAAAATTGTTGAGATCATGTTTTAGCATTTACATTTTAATTAAATTGTCTGCACGTGATCTTAATAAAATCAAATTAATAGACACGATCGTGTAACTTCATATAACCGTTTATCACCGAAAGTAGCAAAATGTCGTTTTTCTTCGTATCGGGCATTTACGCAACATCGTGTTTGCAAAACAATAAAGTACAATCTCTGCCCATGTATGATTGAGCAATCGTCCTTCGTTGGCATAAGTAGGTACTAGTTAACAATAGTCGTCGTTTCAACCGACTAACTGGATCTTTTCCGACTGCATATCAGTGAAATAAAACTGCAATTACACAAACAAGACTGCTGTCCGAACTATCGAAAGTGTGTCATCGCGCGAGAGGGGCTTAATGTTGGACACTCACCGGCCTTGCCCTCCTTTGCTATTACGTGATTTAGAATTTGGAGGTGCGACGTGACCATTCTATGGTATAATTATTGGTGATAATAGTGACGCCAATGAATAGCTCGTTGTCGGCAATGACTTCGACACGATGTGTTTATGGTTTTGTTTGTAGTCTCGAGATTTTTTTTGTTGTTAAGATTTGTGCTAAGGTTATGTCGTGACATATGTTAATGTAGATGGTCAAATTTATTGTTTGAAATTTCTTCTTTATTTTCAGTGTTTATGTTATACTAAAGTAGACAGACGTTTGTGATAAAGAACAAAATTAAAATTTGTCACATAAATCCAATAATTATAAAAATAATAATTATTTATTTGCCTTAAACTTAGTATAAAGGTGATAAAGTAGAATATCCTCATGTTTCGCCATTCTCAAAAAGCATATAAAAACAATATAATGGGATCTAATAGAGCGAGAATAAAAATAATCTAAGTAATAATGTTACAATAATAATAATGAAATTATAATATTTTTATTATATTGAAATGCATTGGTACATGTCATAGTTTTAATAAAATAAAATTACAATGTCAAAAAAAATGCATAATTCAATATAGTCATTATAATTTTCGAATTCCGTTTGTAAAAAAATTCACTTATTTTTTTAAACAATCAATCTTTAACAATCTAGCCGATAATGATTTTAATTTATTTCAAATTTTATAATACACTCTAACGCACGCAATAATCAAAAACTATAAGCATACTTATTCGATTTTGGAATAACATTTAATACACGTCTATGAAGATTTCGACGCTGTTTAGATTTTTGAATGTTCTTAGCTTTTTTGAATAAATGTTTGTATTTCAGTACAAAGTTACAGATTTCTAGAATATATAATGACGATAGCGTTAAAAAAACAAATTGTTTAGATCATTCCCTAGTGTTATTATCTTTTACAGATCTGGACCTACGAAGCCTAGACGTCCGGATCGTGCTGTGTACGTGCCGAGAGCGCTGCGGTCGGCAGATAACAATTGCTCTGACGAAAATAAACCTGAAACCAATCATAGGCGAACGAGTCATAGCGCTGACACGCCTAAGTGCCCTAAGTCTCCGGCTCCCAAAGAAAAAAACCGGGATTTACCGGGAACACCACGGAAGTCGCAGGATAAAGCCTTCTGCAACGTGTACACGCCGCCTCACCTAAGGAATCAAAGATCTCACACAGTTCCCAGTATAGGCAATCAAGCGACGGCGAAAGATACAAACGAATCTGTGCCTTTAGCTTGCCAAGTGCCAAATAGTGATAGTGCAATATCGTTTAGTGATAATAGTTATAACGACGTAGAAGTAGGTGAGAATTTTTATATTGGAGATTATTTTGCTAACGGACAACTCGGATTTTATAGCCCCAATTATTATAGTGAGTACGTCGATCAAGAGTACCCGCAACAAAACGACTGGGGAACAAATGAGCCCGACCAAAATATGGCTGTAAACGAATCGAATGAGAGCAATATTATTGATAACGATTATTTATATGATAAGGATGAAGATGTTGAGAAGAAAGAGCTGAAGAGAGCGTCACAAGAGATAAATAGAAGTAGCAAACGTATTATAAAACAGAGTTTTCATTCTGATGTACTAGTCATATCGGATCCCGTGGAGAATGTAAAACCCGAAAAGAGTGAAATTGAAGTGTCAGTGGAGAAAACGGAAAAAGAGCCTGAACCTAAGAAGTTAAAAGCTAAATTGGAGCCTAAAGTTTCTCTGAAAAGGGAAGAGAACGATTGGGATGCAGTGTTCGATGATAGTGGAGAATGCTTGGATCCGTCGTTATTGGAAGAATTGGCATCTACTGTTGGAAAAGTTCACATAAGTAAAGCCAAGAATAGCTACGACCAGTACCAGACGAGGGGTCAGGCGTTGTTTAACGGTCCCTACGACGAAACGTTTGGTCATGTGGTAGAAGTGTACGATTTCCCTAGTGAGTTCAAGACGAACGATCTTCTATCGGTATTCAGCGAGTATAAAGACACTGGATTCGAGATTAAATGGGTGGACGACACGCATGCGTTAATTGTCTTCAGCAGCGCGAAAATTGGTGAGTCAGCATGATTTTCTGTTTCAATTACATATATCGATATATTCACCAAGTTTTTTAGGTATTTTATCAACTCTTAATATTATTACATATTATATTATTAAAAACAGATCTAGACCATTCAGAGTTGTTGAGTTTTACAATACACGTATTATATATTTGAATGAGGAAATGAGCAAGCGTATGTCCTTTACATACCTTCATATGTCCATAGCTTACATGCAACATCTCATTGCCTTTAATTGCCTACATATAGCTAGAAATAAAAACTCTATAAGCGGTATTTTAGTTGATTGTACACTTTAAAATTGCAAAATACTATTTTTAACGCTTTAAAATCTTGCCTTAGTCTAGGCAACTTAGCGTGAGAAACGATTCTCGAGGCGAGAAGTTATCATTGCGTAAGTAAAACGTAATGTTTCATTCCACCAACTCGGTGAATAGTAACATGTAGAGTTAACCTATAGTTATAAACACACATTGTTGATGTAATGTTTTATGTATAGAAGTAAATTCACTCTGTTGAGTATATATGAAAAATATTCGTTTCTTTGTTTCTTAATTCACTTAGGTTCACTCAAGAACAGAATCAGAATTGGAATCAGTGCAATACGTTTTCCATTTTATATGCCACTATTTGAGATCACCTCAACACTCAGTTATGTTATTTCTTATAAAATACAGTGTCGAACACTACGCTGTCGCAGCATTACAAATTCAGTCAAATAATACTTCAAAAGGTATTCGTACACATAATCATCCATCTTCTCTATATCTTATTGCTTCCTGAATGTTATAAAAATTAGGTTAAACTACGATCATGCTTATAACTTTTTAGCATTCAATAGTCGAATGGCAAAAAATGGAAAGTTTATAAATTTGTCAAGTCTGTCCGTTCGGTATATTACTTAATAAATTATATGAAATAATTCTAAGTATTTAGTTGATATAAATAATTTCAATTATGTACGATAATTAACCACACATCTATTTGATTGTTTTATTAAATAATCTGTGTCAATTGACATATCCGTAGTTGCGTTTGTAAGCGAAAGTTTTTTTTATATTTGTTTAATATATTTCGTATTTATCTGCATAATTTATTCAATGATTAATCATCGACAAAAGTCAATTAATAAAAATTGAGGTTCATTCATAATAAACTGTTTTGAATAGTATCTGAATTTCTAACCAGCCATAGCTCCATTGTTATTATTACTCAACCGTTAGTAGGGCAGTGGCAACGACATCTTAAAGATTTAATACACTAGAAGCGACGCGGTGCTCACTGATGCGAAGAACTTGAATATTAATTTCGTATTTATCAATACATAATTATTTAGTCAGTCCCTGTACAAGTTAATGTGTTTTTTCCTACTCTAGTATCTCAGTCTTAATCTATCGTAGAAGTAAATAAACTTGTGCCACTTGAAACTATTGAGCGTCGCTTTAATGTAAATAATTTTGAAACATGATCGCGTCGTGTTACGTCTATGAATGATTTTGATGGGCAAATTAGAAAACGTAAAATAAAAGAGCCCAATATTTTGATAAAATTACAGTAAATAGCTCTATATCTATTGACATCGGTTAAACGTATAAAGTTTTAATGGTTTTTAATTACATATAATGTAGTTAGTAATTGCCCGTTTCGCTCTTGTCCGTTTTTTTTTATTACTGAAACCACTTTATTTTATAGAAATACCAGCTTACGATCGCATTGCATTTGGTGTGTTAGCCAATCGTTTTATGGTTGTGCATTTGATCAATTCACAACGTGGTTTCGAAAAGTCACGAGGTGTGACATCAGATGACCCAACTATTATTTTCTTAGGTCATTTGTAATTTAAAAACTTTAAAAAACAAGAGTTATGCAAGCCGATTTCGTTATAAAGTCAGGGGAGTGGCTATAACCAATAAATTTCAAACAATTAAAAGTAAACACAAAATACATATTTTGATGTAGTGAACACATCTATTTAATTATACTGAAAACAACCTTATTTAGAAATTCGAATGACAAAAAATTAAATATATGTAATAAATAACCTAACCTCACAATTGCGAGAGATGCATTGTTATCTATTACACACATCTTTTCTACAATATGTCTAAATTTTCCCGCCTATCTTTGTAATTGCCACGATTTATGACCTGATTTTTTTATGACCGTAGCCAATTCCATAAAAATACCAATGTATTCTTGAAATTCTATCACTGATTACAAAAATAGATTCTTTAAAAAATAATTATTTATTGTTAATTTATTTTTAAGTCGGAAATTAAAACCTGTTTATATTGCCTTCGTACGAATCGCCATTTCGTTTTTATCTACAAACTATCTTTTTGCTAAAGACTGTTCTAATAACATAACACATTATGGAACTCATTACGTCAACTATCCTCACAATAGCCTTTTACGTCACGCACTCACAGTAATTGTTGATTGATAAATTATTATCTAATATTATAAATATAAGAGAGGTGCGGGTTTACTAATAACGTAAATGTATTCAATTTATTATTCAATATAGTATAATGTCATGAATGACATACTTTAAATTAAAATACATCGGCATATTATTGACAATATTTTATACATAATTATATTATGATCTTGTCCATGGTTCATATAAATATATAATATAATGATTATGTATTCATAATTTTTATCACCGCGAACTAAACACAATCATATTAAAGCATTAACTAAACAAAAAAATAATATAGATTATGTATCTCACAGAACACAAAAAATGTTTCTGTTTTGTGATTCGATGTTGTATTACTTAAAAAGCAATTTAATTACGTAGTGCAAGAACTTATTTTATGAGTAGGTATAATATCAGTTATTAGATTTCGAAATGCACATGCATGCGATATATAATATTTTTATTTGTCGATGTCATAAAATAGATCTATTGAATATTATAAGTTATCAATAAAACCTATCTTAATAGTAGTCAGTAGTAACAAAAACAAATCTTACGTATTATCTATCATAGTACGGATAGTGGGAAGTGACTTTGTTATACACTTCGCACTATCTGTACGCTGAGATCTTTTAAACTACACAACGAACTTAAATTAATCTACAGAGTGATTCTAGAATAATTTCATATGTATAATACCTACAGAACCACGCGGGTAAAACCGCTGTCGGAAAGCTAGTTATCAATATAATGGAAAAAGAAAAATATTGTATTCTATAGTTTTTATGGATTCCGTAGTAAGCAAGAAACCCTTACGTCCGCGTTTTAGTTCTAAAAACTAATGGTACTCGAAAGTTGTAATTTAGCATGAGTATACACGTTAATTACGTTGACAAAGTGTTAAAGTAAAACTTAGAAAAAATAATTTCAGGGTGGTTTACATATGAAGTGGGATGACATTTTTTTTTTTTCATTTTCTCCATATTGTGGGACATCGCTGGATAGGTCTTTCAAAAGCATTAAGGGTGTGTGAAGGCCACTTTTTGGCTTAAGTAACCGTTTGTGACTTATTAAGCTTTAAAATGCAAATTTTCGTTAGACTCAAGTGCCCCCCCCTCTTCCAACTAAAAGGTAACGGTAATAAATAGATACATAATATGTTGGTAAAAATGCAAACCTTACGGCAGTAGTACCTATATATAACGAAGTTAAAAGGAAAACTATCACACTTAAGTTGGCTTTACAAGTTCACGAGTAATAGTTGACCAATCGTTTTTAAAACGAAAATTTTGAACAACTCTTTAACTTGAAATTTTTTATAAAATTATATCTAATAAATTATCGGGTTTTTCTAAATCTGTTCAGCTAATATTATAAATATTTTGTCCTAAAATATAGTTTGGATATTTAGCTCACAATGATATGAGCTCACATCAGGTTAATGTTATTTATTGGAAATACCAATTTGTTTACTCGGAGTCTTAAGTCACCAAAATACAATTCTATTATTATTATTTATTGAATTAATGCACATTTAAAGTACAATGACGGACTTGATTCCTTAGGCGTTATCTACCAATTTACCTTAGAATGATGCGGGGAAACCAATGCGAGTAGGGTGCACAATTAAATAAAAGATTTATTAACAAAAATATACAGACATTTAATACATAACACATAACACGTGACAAAAACATAATTCATACATACATAATTTGATATATATATATTGTTAAATAAAGACGACTTGCGATTAGACGAGTCTGCCTGTTTCGATAAATAGCTACGTAATTTGTTTTTGATACTGCACTTACTTGTGGACATTTTAGTGTGAGAGTCATATAGATACTAAAAATGAGATGTGAGATAGCAGAGAGCGTTTGGCGAGTCTAATAAAGAAAACAGAGTAGTAAGAACTCACATATTGATTCGCCGCCGAATAGGTATCCATTAGAGAAGAGATCGATGTGAAGAGATACGGTCATGGTTCCGTAGATTGAAAACGAATTGAATGCAGTTATTTTGAAGACGGTCGAGGCATCATCATAAATAATACCTTCGAAATTGTTGCTGTCTATTTCTAGACATAATTCGCAATCCACCTGTTGAGGATGCTGATCCGGCTCGAAGGACCAAAACTATTGAGGGTGCTGATCCGGCTCTATGGACCAAACTGTTGAGGATGCTGTATAACCGTGGATGATGGTGAAAAACAAAGACGAATTTCTTCTATAGGCGATTTATTGTATTTTCTTCTTACTGGCTACTTATTACTGCTTGACTATACTGCTTGACTGACTTGACTTGACTACGAATATTTACAAATTTGGCCCTACCCTTATTCTAAACTTAACATCTAACTTAGATACTAGTGACGCGCGGCGGCCGACCAATCACAGCGCGTTTTACGCCCGCGCGCCGGGTGGGGGAATCGCCCCCACCGTGCGGACGGCGCCTACGCAGCCAATGGGCTCCCCGATAATTCCGCTAATGTAGGCGCTGTGATTGGTCGTTCGATCTGTACATTTTTCGGCACGTGGCTGTCTTCAACAGTCTCCCCCCGGCGAA